ATATTCGTTTATTTTAGGCGTCGTTTCCAAATTTAGGAGCTATAATACATTTGTGGAGAGCGAATGAGAAAGTAGGGATTTACACTGCTTTTTGTAAATTTCTACCGCCATATCGCCATATTTTGTGTGTGTACCTATGTGGTGAGTCGAACCCGTACCTTCCGCATGACGAACCAACGCTTTAAACACGGCGTTAACCAACCGCCCCTTCCGACATGGAAACCTATCATGTCTTATAACGCTCGCTTTGGACCTTGAAACTGAAATTTATTATGTACATACTACATGTAATTGGTATCATAAAGTATTATATTGAGTACATTCAAAACCTTATCTAAATTTGTGTGTGGCATTTTAAATCCAGTTCCGACTATTCAGAATATGGTACTAATTCACTTCGTTTGTGTCCTGTTGTCAGGGTTTGCGTGTATTCAGAATTGAGGTGTTGGCTGTATAATTTAATGGTAGACAAAATATCGTTAGCAGATTTGGGATTACATCTTTAAAATCATTATGGACAAGTAACTTCGGCAACAAGAAGGTATCTTCATTGACACCAATTGTGGTGCCCTGCTTGCTGGACTGTTTTGAACAAGCTTATGAATCGGAATTTCTCCTCGGATTGGAAAATCAAAACAAGGGCACTTAATCTTAAGTTATATCGACGATCTGTTAAGTTAAGGATAAAACACGACTCCAGGCTTTATGTTGAAAATGTAAAACAGCGATGCGGGAAACGCCTGCGGGCCTAACAGGATGTTGCTGTAGTATTGCTAAAAGCGGCGTAAAACCATATTTATAAACTAAATAATGCAAAGCTATGAACATCAGAAGAGGCAGCAGATTTCGCAGCATCAACACATGCTCTCAGACGTTATTATACACGCATACTTACCACACGGAGATTCCTTTGAGATTTGATATTTGGGTATTTGGATATCTGCCTGCATCCAATCACAAAATACACAGGTGTTATCGATAAAACCCGAAACCTTGAACTCAGGAAATTACCTACATAAAAAGAAAAAGAGGAAAAATCTGAGGTTTCTAGTCTGTTATTCATAACACTATACTTATAATAATTGCAATAGGATTTATCTTGTCTGTACACAATAATTGTCAAACGATACAACGTTAACGAATATGTTTTGGGAAATGTTACTTGCTGTAAGATAACATTAGAACTCCTACATGTAGCCTATATACATTGTAATGTCATTTAGTAATCATGCAAAAGTATGTCTTCAGCAACCCATGCTTGCCGTGAAAAGCGACTGTGCTTGTCGTAAAAGGCGACTAACGGGATCGGGTGGTCAGGCTCGCTGACTTGGTTGATGCATGTCATCGATCCCAATTGCGTGGATCGATGCTCATGATGTCAATCACTGGATTGTCTGGTCCAGACTCGATTATTTACAAACCGCCGTCTTATGGCTGGAAATTGCTGAGTGCGGCGTTAAACAACGAAAAACCCAAACTATTGCAATGTTTTTATACGAAAGTTTATTGTGACCCATTTGAATAAACGTGTACCTACAAATTATGTTCTTTGACGCCCATCTTCAAATGTGATCTCACATGAAGATATACCTGTTCATAAGATAATTATTGCTATTCCAACCGGCGGATGCTTCAGATATGCTGTTACTCATATATATGATAATGTTCAACATTAGGAGAGGAGGCAACTGATATATGTATTTGCATGGTATTATGCTGATAAGGTTGTTTTTGTGGTTCTCTTATCAGCATTTTATGCAAATCTAATCGTGGCGAGACCAGTATTATTGATTATGTGATTGGGGTCGGCTTGGCATGAGAAAATGTTATGTTGCATAAAGCCATCCTGCTCATAGATGTATGCAATGTAATTCCAGAACAGGTGACTTGCTGTCTTGATGCATTGTATTCGGTTGAACAATCTTTCCCTTTTCACTTATTGTTATTGGAAGCAAGACACACAAGGACTGTAACATATCGTGTGAATCATGCTTGACACGAGTAAATCAGTCTGTAAGAGTCAATTAACGTTAAACAAGAAATCTTGAAATGAACTTGTGCTCCATTCAATTCATATGATTCATAGATCTTTTTGATACGTAATGAATACCTGTTTATGATCATTTTTAGCCAAGAAGATATTGAGATGAAATCAGCACCATATGTTGAGCATTAAAGTCATACGTTTTAATATTGCCAAACAAATTTTAAAATGATTAATGTTAAATATTGACAAACACTAATCTTTGTACAGTGTGTCGTTTCATCTTATTCAATTAGTACATAGTTGAACATTGATAAAGGCTATTGGTGTGAAACTCTTACGTTACAATAATGAAATAAATGTGTTATTTTTTTTACTTTTGTTGCATTCAGATTACCCGACACAGTCAAGTTTATAACTGAATTAAAAACACCGCTATACCATTACCGATCCCCACCTAATGGATGGGTCTCTAGCACGTTGTGTGCAGCCATGGCTGTATTTCCCTGCCTCAAGACACGTGTACGGCCGTCTACCATGTGTAACGGAAACCGATTTTTAGCAGGAAAAAATTGAGTCTCCGCCAGGATGCCAGGATGCAATATACCCGTTTAGAGCTTGATTAGACCATGCTAAACGACCCGCGTTATGGGCCCGAGTTAACAAGCGACATATGATTGGTCTTCTGGCTTGATCTATATCCAGCTATTTTCAGACAATTTCTGATGGTTCTGGTTGAAATCGCTCTGCCTGGTAGCCGCTGTGCCTTTAAAACTGCACCAGGTCAAATGGTCGTCGTTTAACGAGCCTTAATAATGATGTATGTTCTCTCCTGGATGTCTTGCGAGGCTGACCGGGGCGTGACCTGTCCTTAACTTCACGTGGTCAGTATTTCTGCGCACGTTGACGTCCAATTTCCCTGCATTGTTCATACCAATAACCTGCCATCTTAATGCAACATACCCTCTACGACGTACCATGACGATGTTTGTAATGAGCATGCAGCCTGTGTTGAGACATGTGTACCTGCAATGTTCGTGACCACTTCACGTGCTGTGTGTGTAACACAAGCGCGTTGGCTTTTGTATGGTGTGGGAAAGGGGCTATAGTATCCAGTATACTATTACAACGTACTCACTTTCCAAAGTTATCATTCTGTTTATCTAAATATGGATATTTGGTATGTGTATGATTTCATAATTTCTTATTACAGGATGTCTTATCCATATTTAATATACAAGGGGGGTACACAGGCGCACCTGACGCTTGTTTTACCTTCTTCATTATCCGGACGCCACTGTTTCAGCTGATGGTGGCCCCTTTCATGTGTGGTCATCGATACTTTAGGAGTCCGATCCCTGTTTCTCATATGAATGTAATAAAATATTTTTTTAAAACAGATGCATTTCCCTTATCCCCTTTGGGATTGTTTGGAACAGTGTTACAAAATGTTAGATTGGTTTGTTCCTTTGTTTATGGTAATATGAAAATTAATGTTTGAACAGTTTGTTTATAAACAAAATGACGACTGGTCCAGCCTACCGTTATGGTGATTGAGCACCGATACAACTGTATAGATATCTCATTTCAGCAATGTGCATGTGTAGGTTTTCCTTCTATTACCTGTCATGATAAATATCACATTATCCCATCAGTGAGTGAATGAGTAAACATGTTATTGCTGTTAAATCTGCCGTACTCATCAATTGGGCGCTAGCAATCTGCAGTGAACAAATCCTTTGGTACTGCTGCGTCGATTGACTTATCAAACGTGAAATCATGAAATATCACTGATCCACTGTTGTCCGGATTGATTATGTGGAATGAGGAATAAGCCGGGTGGGCCCCGCTATCTGAAGGATATAAGATTGCTTGACGGAAAATAACATATTTAAGTACTGGAACGATGGTGTTGTGTTGAAGGTGTGAACAAACTGGAATAACCAGTATTCTAGCTATGTCATTTAATCTGAAAACGACGGCACCAACAAGAGATACGGCTTTCCTGATTGCCGATTGGACGACATTCAAGGAGTTAGTTTTGGTGAGTGGTTTTAACGCCAGTGTTAACAGTATTTCATTTATATATATAAATTGCAGGGCAGAAGAATACACATCTTTGATGGTGGCAAACAAGAAATAGTAATTGTAATATTTGATACGCGAACCATAGACATGGATATTACATGCCTCATAACAAGGAGTATTTTACAACAGGCTTGTAACGTTTTGATAACGTTTGTAATGTTTTGGTAAAATCCAATTTTCACAATTATGTATACGTTATTTTGCCCGGCAGTGTATCAGCTGATATAGAAGGAACACATTCAGTGACGCAGGCAACGTTGACCACTTTTATTCACCACGGGCAAGCGAATGGTGCCAACTCGGCAATGATAATAATCTTGGCATTCATGATTAGAACCCATGACTAGTGTGTGTTCAATGTGGAATCTTCGCGCCTGTGCCGTCGCGTCGAGACTCGTCTTTTGCGCAGGCCTCCATGATGTAGCTGAAAACACAAACACAACATATTATTGTCGATGAGAATGACAAATACAGCAATATGGAGCTGATCATTCATCTTACTGATAGATGCAGTTTTGTAAATATACACGTATCACATCAGAATATCATATCAGGAAACCTTAGTTCTGTGCATGTCCGTAGGAGAGTATTCTTTGATGATGCTACTTTTTACACTGTTGGGATTAGTTCATTATAAAAGACGGAGCAAGTGGCGTACACAAAACTCTAGTACTTAACTGAACACTTCAGTGTTATATTATCGATCGTCTTTTCAGGTTCTTTGTGTGCACTCGTTCCATCTGTTGGCCAGACACGGAGAGGTGACCGATTACGAATGCACCGGTACAAAACCTGGATCTATGACAGTTCAGGTGATCACCAGAACTCACGGAGTTTCTGCAATTGTTGGTATGTTCAGATATAAACGAGTTCAGACATTGAACAATACATTGCTCGCATCGAAAATAACCTAGCGCCTATTTTCTGCTCAGGGTTGGCGTAGTGATGGCTTAGTGATGGTGTAGTTATAGCGTAGGTTTGCGTAGTGATGGCGTAGCAATGGTGTAGAGATGGTGTAGGTATAGCGTAGGTTTGTGTAGTGATGGTGTAGGGTGGCGGAGTGATGGTGTTGGGTGGCGAAGCGATGGTGTAGGTTGACGTAGTGATGGCGTTGTGATGGTGGAGGGGGGCGTAATGATGGTGTATGGTGGCGTAGTGATGGCGTAGCGATGGTATCGCGATGGTGTAGGTTTACGTAGTGATGGCGTTGTGATGGTGTATGGTGGCATAGTGATGGTGTAGGGTGGCGTAGTGATCGTGTAGGGTGGCGTTGTGATGGCGTTGTGATGGTGTTGTGATGGTGTAGGTTGGCGTAGTGATGGCGTAGCGATGGTGTAGTGATGGTGTAGGGTAGCGTAGTGATGGCGATGTGATTGTGTAGGGTGGCGTAGTGATGGCGTAGCGATGGTGTAGTGATGGTGTAGGTTAGCGCAGTGATGGTGTACGTTGGCGTAGTGATCGTGTAGGTTAGCGTAGTGATGGTGTAGGTTAGCGTAGTGATGGTGTAGGTTGGCGTAGGGTGGCGTAGTGATGGTGTAGGTTTAGCGTAGGTTTGCGTAGTGATGGTGTAGGTTGACGTAGGGATGGCGTTGTGATTGTGTAGTGATGGTGTAGGGTGGCATAGCGATGGTGTAGGGTGGCGTAGTGATGGTGTAGGGCCCCGTAGCGATGGCGTAGCGATGGTGTAGGGTGGCGTAGTGATGGTGTATGGTGGCTTAGTGATGGCGTAGCGTTGGTATCGTGATGGTGTAGGTTTACGTAGTGATGGCGTTGTGATGGAGTCTGGTGGCATAGTGATGGTGTAGGGTGGCGTAGTGATCGTGTAGGGTGGCGTTGTGATGGCGTTGTGATGGTGTAGTGATGGTGTAGGTTGGTGTAGTGATGGCGTAGCGGTGGTGTAGTGATGGTGTAGGTTAGCGTAGTGATGGCGATGTGATTGTGTAGGGTGGCGTAGTGATGGCGTAGCGATGGTGTAGTGATGGTGTAGGTTAGCGTAGTGATGGTGTACGTTGGCGTAGTGATCGTGTAGGTTAGCGTAGTAATGGTGTAGGTTAGCGTAGTGATGGTGTAGGTTGGCGTAGTGATGGCGTTGTGATGGTGTAAGGTGGCGTAATGATGGTGTAGGGTGGCGTAGTGATGGTGTAGGGCCCCGTAGTGATGGCGTAGCGATGGTGTAGTTATGGCGTTGTGATGGTGTAAGGTGGCGTAGTGATGGCGTAGCGATGGTATGGTGATGGTGTAGGTTAACGTAGTGATGGCGTTGTGATGGTGTTTGGTGGCAAAGTGATGGTGTAGGGTGGCGTAGTAATGGCGTTGTGATGGTGTAGTTATGGTGTAGGGTGGCATAGCGATGGTGTAGGGTGGTGTAGGGTGGCGTAGTGATGGTGTATGGTGGCGTAGTGATGGCGTAGCGATGGTATCGCGATGGTGTAGGTTTACGTAGTGATGGCGTTGTGATGGTGTATGGTGGCATAGTGATGGTGTAGGGTGGCGTAGTGATCGTGTAGGGTGGCGTTATGATGGCGTTGTGATGGTGTTGTGATGGTGTAGGTTGGTGTAGTGATGGCGTAGCGATGGTGTAGTGATGGTGTAGGTTAGCGTAGTGATGGTGTAGGTTGGCGTAGTGATGGTGTAGGTCATCGTAGTGATGGTGTAGGTTAGCGTAGTGATGGCGTATTGATGGTGTATGGTGGATCCATATATATATATATATATATATATATATATATATGGGGCACGGGTGGCCCAGTCGTCTAAGGTGCCGCGATTCGCTGTGCAGAGTTGCGCCGCTTGGGCACGCCAGAAACCTATGATTGTGGGTACGAATCCCGGTTTGCCCTGATTATGTTTCTAGGTTTGTCAGCACCATTACCGTGCTCGTGGGTCACTTCGGGCTTTCCATCCCACATTAAGCTGACACGCCGTGATATAACTGGAACACTGTTAAAAGCGGGGTAAAACCCAACTCACTCACTCACTATATATGTATTAAATCCACCAAGGATAGTCATCCTGTCTATATATGTAATACTGTCTTTTGTTCATTAATTTCTTCCTCATTCTGCGACTGCAACTTCTTCAGCTTTTGCCTTCTTATAGTCTCCCTAATTACTCTTGAAAATCACATGCGTGAAACCGGTTGAGTAAATTATACAGCTCATCTTTGGACTTTTGTATTTTATCGCTCTCTCTCTCTCTCTCTCTCTCTCTCTCTCTCTCCCTCTCTCTCTCTCTCTCTCTCTCTCTATATATATATATATATATATATATATATATAATTTTTTTTATATATATACACCAACCATTGTGTCTTTCGCTCTTGGAACATTTACAGCATCCCGTCCCTGGTTTGCATAGTAAGCTGCTAGTATTCTCTTTTCCCTTGTTTCTCGCTGAAATTACTCGTGTTGTATACGGTCCACGTGAAAGTTCAGAAATTCAGAAAGTTCGTCAGGGATAATAGCTTATCATTACCACTTACCAATTTCTATGGGAGATTTCCATGTAATTTCTATTCCAACTTCGTGCCTTGCTTCGACCAAACACTATCTGGAAATTTGCGAGTGAAAATCTACACATAATATGAGCCGATACAGTGGTTCTTGGGCAGCTTTAATAGCGGGACTATTATCAATTTCATTTCCGAAACAAATAATTTTAATGTCCAAAAAGGATGAACAAAACAACAATTCATCTTGAATAACTTTTATTTATATGACATCATTACTGCTAGCACGACCATTTATTGTTACTTAACTTTCTACTATTATTCATTTCATAAAAAAAGACAATATTGCTTCTCATGGCACCATTTGCATACATGCTTAACGCGAATGTATCATCTTCCTCCCTTGCTTAACGTCTAATTAATTCTCCACACAATATTCTTTTCGTTAATTTCTTCCCCTTTCTCAAGAAACATCCTGGTAATTTGCTTGTCTTGGTCTTATTTTATTCCGGATAGCCTGTAAAAATTTACCTCCCAAGGATGGCCTTTTTCGACCATTAGCTTTTCTAAGCTTCTTCATACAAGCAGCAATGTCAGAAGCTCCCTTGCATTCTTCTGCACGTTCCGCCCCAGTTTCCGACGGCACTTTCAATTTCCTAACCTGCGATATTGTTTTCGTTCCATCCAGGAGTGCCAGTAACATCCTCGATGCCCACCTTTTCCCTTTACCCTTTTCTGACCTCATCCGCCTCAATTTTCGCTTGCCGACTGTTCTCCTAACTTGCGCTATTGTTTTGGTTCCTTTCAGAATTGCTTGCAACATCTTCCATGCCCAAGTTGTCTTTTTCCCATCATTTATTTCTGCCATCTCCTTCGTACAGGCTTCACTATCCGCAGCACCCTTGCACTCCTCTCCTTCTAACTTCTCCAGCAGATCTGCTTCTTCTACTGTCTTTTCTTTATTAATTTCTTCCTCATTCTGCGACTGCAACTTCTTCAGCTTCTGCTTCCCTATGGTCTCCTTAACCTGTGATATTGTTTTGGTTCCATCCAGGAGTGCCAGTAACATCCTCGACGCCCACCTTTTCTCTTTACCCTTTCCTGACATCATCCGCCTCAACTTTCGCTTGCCGACTGTTCCCCTAACTTCGCTTATTGTTTTGTTTCCTTTCAGGATTGCTTGCAACATCTTCCATGCCCAAGTTGTCTTCTTCCCATCATTTATTTCTGCCATCTCCTTCATACAGGCTTCACTATCCGCAGCACCCTTGCACTCCTCTCCTTCTAACTTCTCCAGCAGATCTGCTTCTTCTACTGTCTTTTCTTCATTAATTTCTTCCTCATTCTGCGACTGCAACTTCTTCAGCTTCTGCTTCCCTATGGTCTCCTTAACCTGTGATATTGTTTTGGTTCCATCCAGGAGTGCCAGTAACATCCTCGACGCCCACCTTTTCCCTTTACCCTTTCCTGACCTCATCCGCCTCAACTTTTGCTTGCCGACTGTTCCCCTAACTTCTGCTATTGTCTTGTTTCCTTTCAGGATTGCTTGCAACATCTTCCATGCCCAAGTTGTCTTTTTCCCATCATTTATTTCTGCCATCTCCTTCATACAGGCTTCACTATCCGCAGCACCCTTGCACTCCTCTCCTTCTAACTTCTCCAGCAGATCTGCTTCTTCTACTGTCTTTTCTTCATTAATTTCTTCCTCATTCTGCGACTGCAACTTCTTCAGCTTCTGCTTCCCTATAGTCTCCTTAACCTGTGATATTGTTTTGGTTCCATCCAGGAGTGCCAGTAACATCCTCAACGCCCACCTTTTCCTTTTACCCTTTCCTGACCTCATCCGCCTCAACTTTTGCTTGCCGACTGTTCCCCTAACTTCTGCTATTGTCTTGTTTCCTTTCAGGATTGCTTGCAACATCTTCCATGCCCAAGTTGTCTTTTTCCCATCATTTATTTCTGCCATCTCCTTCATACAGGCTTCACTATCCGCAGCACCCTTGCACTCCTCTCCTTCTAACTTCTCCAGCAGATCTGCTTCTTCTACTGTCTTTTCTTCATTAATTTCTTCCTCATTCTGCGACTGCAACTTCTTCAGCTTCTGCTTCCCTATAGTCTCCTTAACCTGTGATATTGTTTTGGTTCCATCCAGGAGTGCCAGTAACATCCTCAACGCCCACCTTTTCCTTTTACCCTTTCCTGACCTCATCCGCCTCAACTTTTGCTTGCCGACTGTTCCCCTAACTTCTGCTATTGTCTTGTTTCCTTTCAGGATTGCTTGCAACATTTTCCATGCCCAAGTTGTCTTTTTCCCATCATTTATTTCTGCCATCTCCTTCATACAGGCTTCACTATCCGCAGCACCCTTGCACTCCTCTCCTTCTAACTTCTCCAGTAGATCTGCTTCTTCTACTGTCTTTTCTTCATTAATTTCTTCCTCATTCTGCGACTGCAACTTCTTCAGCTTCTGCTTCCCTATGGTCTCCTTAACCTGTGATATTGTTTTGGTTCCATCCAGGAGTGCTAGTAACATCCTCGACGCCCACCTTTTCTCTTTACCCTTTCCTGACCTCATCCGCCTCAACTTTTGCTTGCCGACTGTTCCCCTAACTTCTGCTATTGTCTTGTTTCCTTTCAGGATTGCTTGCAACATCTTCCATGCCCAAGTTGTCTTTTTCCCATCATTTATTTCTGCCATCTCCTTCATACAGGCTTCACTATCCGCAGCACCCTTGCACTCCTCTCCTTCTAACTTCTCCAGCAGATCTGCTTCTTCTACTGTCTTTTCTTCATTAATTTCTTCCTCATTCTGCGACTGCAACTTCTTCAGCTTCTGCTTCCCTATAGTCTCCTTAACCTGTGATATTGTTTTGGTTCCATCCAGGAGTGCCAGTAACATCCTCAACGCCCACCTTTTCCTTTTACCCTTTCCTGACCTCATCCGCCTCAACTTTTGCTTGCCGACTGTTCCCCTAACTTCTGCTATTGTCTTGTTTCCTTTCAGGATTGCTTGCAACATTTTCCATGCCCAAGTTGTCTTTTTCCCATCATTTATTTCTGCCATCTCCTTCATACAGGCTTCACTATCCGCAGCACCCTTGCACTCCTCTCCTTCTAACTTCTCCAGTAGATCTGCTTCTTCTACTGTCTTTTCTTCATTAATTTCTTCCTCATTCTGCGACTGCAACTTCTTCAGCTTCTGCTTCCCTATGGTCTCCTCAACCTGTGATATTGTTTTGGTTCCATCCAGGAGTGCTAGTAACATCCTCGACGCCCACCTTTTCTCTTTACCCTTTCCTGACCTCATCCGCCTCAACTTTTGCTTGCCGACTGTTCCCCTAACTTCTGCTATTGTCTTGTTTCCTTTCAGGATTGCTTGCAACATCTTCCATGCCCAAGTTGTCTTTTTCCCATCATTTATTTCTGCCATCTCCTTCGTACAGGCTTCACTATCCGCAGCACCCTTGCACTCCTCTCCTTCTAACTTCTCCAGTAGAACTGCTTCTTCTACTGTCTTTTCTTCATTAATTTCTTCCTCATTCTGCGACTGCAACTTCTTCAGCTTCTGCTTCCCTATGGTCTCCTTAACCTGTGATATTGTTTTGGTTCCATCCAGGAGTGCCAGTAACATCTTCGACGCCCACCTTTTCCCTTTACCCTTTCCTGACCTCATCCGCCTCAACTTTTGCTTGCCGACTGTTCCCCTAACTTCTGCTATTGTCTTGTTTCCTTTCAGGATTGCTTGCAACATCTTCCGTGCCCAAGTTGTCTTTTTCCCATCATTTATTTCTGCCATCTCCTTCATACAGGCTTCACTATCCGCTGCACCCTTGCACTCCTCTCCTTCTAACTTCTCCAGCAGATCTGCTTCTTCTACTGTCTTTTCTTCATTAATTTCTTCCTCATTCTGCGACTGCAACTTCTTCAGCTTCTGCTTCCCTATGGTCTCCTTAACCTGTGATATTGTTTTGGTTCCATCCAGGAGTGCTAGTAACATCCTCGACGCCCACCTTTTCCCTTTACCCTTTCCTGACCTCATCCGCCTCAACTTTTGCTTGCCGACTGTTCCCCTAACTTCTGCTATTGTCTTGTTTCCTTTCAGAATTGCTTGCAACATCTTCCATGCCCAAGTTGTCTTTTTCCCATCATTTATTTCTGCCATCTCCTTCGTACAGGCTTCACTATCCGCTGCACCCTTGCACTCCTCTCCTTCTAACTTCTCCAGTAGAACTGCTTCTTCTACTGTCTTTTCTTCATTAATTTCTTCCTCATTCTGCGACTGCAACTTCTTCAGCTTCTGCTTCCCTATGGTCTCCTTAACCTGTGATATTGTTTTGGTTCCATCCAGGAGTGCCAGTAACATCTTCGACGCCCACCTTTTCCCTTTACCCTTTCCTGACCTCATCCGCCTCAACTTTTGCTTGCCGACTGTTCCCCTAACTTCTGCTATTGTCTTGTTTCCTTTCAGAATTGCTTGCAACATCTTCCATGCCCAAGTTGTCTTTTTCCCATCATTTATTTCTGCCATCTCCTTCGTACAGGCTTCACTATCCGCAGCACCCTTGCACTCCTCTCCTTCTAACTTCTCCAGTAGATCTGCTTCTTCTACTGTCTTTTCTTCATTAATTTCTTCCTCATTCTGCGACTGCAACTTCTTCAGCTTCTGCTTCCCTATGGTCTCCTTAACCTGTGATATTGTTTTGGTTCCATCCAGGAGTGCCAGTAACATCCTCAACGCCCACCTTTTCCCTTTACCCTTTCCTGACCTCATCCGCCTCAACTTTTGCTTGCCGACTGTTCCCCTAACTTCTGCTATTGTCTTGTTTCCTTTCAGAATTGCTTGCAACATCTTCCATGCCCAAGTTGTCTTTTTCCCATCATTTATTTCTGCCATCTCCTTCGTACAGGCTTCACTATCCGCTGCACCCTTGCACTCCTCTCCTTCTAACTTCTCCAGTAGAACTGCTTCTTCTACTGTCTTTTCTTCATTAATTTCTTCCTCATTCTGCGACTGCAACTTCTTCAGCTTCTGCTTCCCTATAGTCTCCTTAACCTGTGATATTGTTTTGGTTCCATCCAGGAGTGCCAGTAACATCTTCGACGCCCACCTTTTCCCTTTACCCTTTCCTGACCTCATCCGCCTCAACTTTTGCTTGCTGACTGTTCCCCTAACTTCTGCTATTGTCTTGTTTCCTTTCAGGATTGCTTGCAACATCTTCCATGCCCAAGTTGTCTTTTTCCCATCATTTATTTCTGCCATCTCCTTCATACAGGCTTCACTATCCGCTGCACCCTTGCACTCCTCTCCTTCTAACTTCTCCAGCAGATCTGCTTCTTCTACTGTCTTTTCATCATTAATTTCTTCCTCATTCTGCGACTGCAACTTCTTCAGCTTCTGCTTCCCTATGGTCTCCTTAACCTGTGATATTGTTTTGGTTCCATCCAGGAGTGCTAGTAACATCCTCGACGCCCACCTTTTCCCTTTACCCTTTCCTGACCTCATCCGCCTCAACTTTCGCTTGCCGACTGTTCCCCTAACTTCTGCTATTGTCTTGTTTCCTTTCAGGATTGCTTGCAACATCTTCCATGCCCAAGTTGTCTTTTTCCCATCATTTATTTCTGCCATCTCCTTCGTACAGGCTTCACTATCCACAGCACCCTTGCACTCCTCTCCTTCTAACTTCTCCAGCACATCTGCTTCTTCTACTGTCTTTTCTTCATTAATTTCTTCCTCATTCTGCGACTGCAACTTCTTCAGCTTTTGCTTTCTTATAGTCTCCTTAACCTGCGATATTGTTTTGGTTCCATCCAGGAGTGCCAGTAACATCCTCGACGCCCACCTTTTCCCTTTACCCTTTCCTGACCTCATCCGCCTCAACTTTCGCTTGCCGACTGTTCCCCTAACTTCTGCTATTGTTTTGTTTCCTTTCAAGATTGCTTGCAACATCTTCCATGCCCAAGTTGTCTTTTTCCCATCATTTATTTCTGCCATCTCCTTCGTACAGGCTTCACTATCCGCAGCACCCTTGCACTCCTCTCCTTCTAACTTCTCCAGCAGATCTGCTTCTTCTACTGTCTTTTCTTCATTAATTTCTTCCTCATTCTGCGACTGCAACTTCTTCAGCTTTTGCCTTCTTATAGTCTCCTTAACCTGCGATATTGTTTTGGTTCCATCCAGGAGTGCCAGTAACATCCTCGACGCCCACCTTTTCCCTTTACTCTTTTCTGACTTCATCCGCCTCAACTTTTTCTTGCCCAAGGTCGCCTTAACTTGGGCTATTGTTTTTTTTCCTTTCAGGATTGCCTGCAACATCTTCCATGCCCAAGTTTTCTTGTTCCCATCGTTTATCTTTCCCTTCTGCCTGTCCCTCACCATTTCTCTGATTTTGGCCATCCTCTGCTGCCACTTTTTTCTTCTTCCCTTCCGCATTGCATTTAACTTATTCTTCCATGCTTTGGGTGCGTTTTTTGTTGCCTCTTTTTGTTCAGTCTTGTCAATACAACCGTTTATGTCTAAATCCCCTGCACATTCCTCCGCAGACCACTCTGTAAAAAATAAATCAACACAGTTACAGTGAGGAGGGATATTGCTTGTGATTGTTCTCTGGTTTGTTTATAACATATACTGTTCGCTCCCCTTAATGTTCTACGAAGCATGAAGGAAGCAGAGTGTATAGTAAATTCCCCACACGACCTTGATATCATAAATGCAAAGACTCGTATCATTGTGTATGCTTCGGCAATAAAGGGCTATCAAATATTATCTAATCTCATCAATTTAAAGTTAAATGAACCAAGGCGCAGAATTGCATATTTGAAACTTGCTAACTTTACCTATTTTCATATACCAGTATTGTTCAAATATATCGTATTTACTTGGAAAGTACTGTGAATAAGTTGCCACAACTTAGATAGCCCTATATATTACCATTAAAAGTAGTTTCCACAATTAACAATAGTGAGTGCATCAATTTTTGTCTAGCTCATTTAAGTTTTAGCAATGTGCTGCCACATTTGCAATTTGGTTCCCCGTTTAAACCTTGTCTATAATCACCATGTCTTAATTATTAATTATGATTTAAATTATTCTGAGACCATATGAGAAATATGGTTGGAATGTATTATCTGTTCTCATACTGGATTTAAATCCAGAAAAGATTTCAGTATTCCTTTCATTGTATGGGGAATTCAATAGAGGATTGTATGAACGAAAAAGCAGAAATCTTACAGTACGTAATAAAGGAATGTTATGAGCAATTCTAGAGGTTGTATGCTATTTTTATCCCGAGAGAGTAAGAGTAAGGTACTAGACCTTGAAGGTGTGGTAGTGTCATATGCTGTGCATTTATAACAATAAACGCAACTTAGGATTCTCCTAAGCTCAGATAAGCGTTCCCAATAAGTTTTAAAATATAACTTTTGAACAGGAGTATGACTTCCAGTTAACAGTCTTGCTGTGTCATGTTCAAGCTTTGCAATCTGTCACTCAGATCTTTGGTGCACCAGTCCCAAACTTTACATGTATGTTCAAAGTGCATAAATTACATACTTGGTTATATAACATTGTTGAACATATTACGACTGAGAGGGGAAAAAAATGGCAAAATACAATTCCACAATCATAAGAAATATCAACTAAAGGTCCAATAAGCATCAAAGTTCGAGTGAACCTGTTGTTCACGAAACGGTGATCGCATTATGCGCCAGCGATAGCACCCATCACAAACATGTGCAAAGGAAAATCAATTGTTCACATAACAAACACAGGAATATATGGTACAAGTCAAAATAGGAAATTGCATCGGATATCATTGATGCGTCCAAATTGGAAATGTCCGCCACATGTCTACAAAGAATCTTTCAAAAGCTTTGCGAAGGCCTTGAATATTGTAAGGCTGATCACAACCTTTTGAGCAAGGGTTTTATGACGCTTTCTGAATTTGTCGTAGAAAGAGCATGCGCGACTGTACCTCAAAAGGGGCGGTGGGGTAGCCTAGTGGTTAAATCGTTCGCTCGTCACGCCAAAGACCCGGGTTCGATTCCCGACATGGGTACAATGTGTGAAGCCCATTTCTGGTGTCCCCCGCCGTGATATTGCTGGAATATTGCTAAAAGCGGCGTAAAACCATACTCACTCACTCACTCACTCACTGTACCTCAAAAGATTTTTGTGTCACTCTGAATCATTATGCATGGATCTAAATATGATAGAGATGAGGCAGTTTCACTGGTCTCTTTTATTTCTAATTCAGGTGGGTGCAGTGGAAGGCACTTGGCGCTTTGATCATTATGGAACGTTTTCAGATCTTAGATATACTTTGAAGCTTAAGTTAATCTTCGTGGCCAAATTCTCTTGGTTTGGTTTTGCCAATCCGACCAGAAACACCGATTTATATACATAGAGAAACAGATCAACAAGAATGGGAGCGCAATTGGTGCTCACTGAGATGCCAACGTCTTGCCTTATGTCTTCACATAGATGTTATCAATGAGGATATAGAGATTTAACTATATCTATTATCAGCAGATTTAGTAACAGGTGCCCCATGGATCAATTTATGCCATAACATTTCCATTTATACATGTATTCCTTACTATATGAAACGGTTTTTTTTAACTATGATAGAATACCGTAAAATATAAGTACTGTGCAAAGATATGGTGGACCTCGCCAACAGTTGAAGAACAGGTTGTTAATGCTTATGTAACACTGATTGGATGCTTTTCTGAAACTGGAAATAGACAATGACTATAATAAAATAATGAAAAGTGCAAGATGGAAGGTTATGAGAAATGCTACCCGAAACTCACGCCTGAACGCAACCAGTAACCACGTAGCTCATGGCCATGTTCGTGCAAGACATGACATGTAGTAATCGATGTTGGTAAAAAAAATGGTTCATTCCAGATGCAATTGAACTGCCCTCTTGGAAGTTAGAAATACGATTTATCTATATAGAGGAGAGAGGTCAAGTAGTTGGTATGCTGCAAGTTAGACAGAATCAATGACAGGTTGGTAGACATTTCAATGTGTCTTAGAGTGTCATCGGAAGGCTGGGGTTATGCTTTCAAGCCACATGATCCGTTTCTAAACAATGTAAGCTTTCCTACTTTTATTACTTATTATCTGCGTGACACCATTTAACTGACGCTGACTATACTATTTGAAACCAGAATTTCATTAAAAGGGAGACTATGCCGATTTGGTGTTTATTTGTAGTCGATGTCTAGACGTTGTACTTTGAGACGTGTGACAAACTGAGAAAACATCTATAAATGTCTAATTAGGTTGACCAACAGCGTCTTTTTTGACCTGATACATCTTGCACACGCAACTGATGCCATGAATATGCAGGGAATGTCAACTGTCCCGTGTCTAGTCTGCCTTTGTGATATTGTTATTGTGAAAAAACATACGTTTTCATGTTAACAAAGAAACGCCTAAACAAAATCCTACATTGAGGATATCTCAAAGAAGCTGTGTCTCTGAATTCACTCTACTTGTAACATTTACATACATACTCTTTATAAATTTATTTTTGACACGCCACCTTATTAAATCATTGTCATTTGTCTGTCGTCTTGGCCTTGAGCCCAAGGCCATTTGACAGACCGAACTTAATGCATGCACATCCTTTTCACACATATGCCTCATGGGCATTCCAGGGTACAATTGCACCTAGTAACCCATACTTGTCTTATGAAGCAACTTAGTGGTTCGCATGGTCAGGTTCGATGACTTGGTTAATATGTAGTATTGTAAAACGGCTGTGTGTGTGCCGTTGCTAATAATATTAATCGCTGGTCTCTGTGGCCCAGACTCGAATATTTACAGACCGTTGGAAAATAGTTGTCTGTGGCGAAACATAACCAACAACCTCGTTTTAAATGCTGCCCTGAATCTGACTAGTGAAACACTAACCTTCAGATAATGGTTTCTTGATGACTTCAACGTCAACAAACATAATTGGTTTTGCAACAGCGCCCTCTTCAACTGCAAGCCCTTCCTCAATCACGGATGTTAAAGCCACCGCCAACAGCAAGGACAGAGAAATCATGTTTGGCCACATCACGCACTGAAATAAATTAAACCCGAGCATATATCTACATATTAGTTCTCATCATCATCATCATCATCATCATCATCATCATCATCATAATAATAATAATAATTTTGCATCAAAATGTAAATATGAAATGTAGATTATGTAATGAATTTAATGAGTCTGTCTGACACATTGTCAGTGAATGCCCGGCTTTGGCACAAACACAGTATCTTAAGCGACATGATGGAGTGGCTCGATCATTTTATTACCGTCTTCGTAATGCTTGTGGTTTTGACACATAGGTCCATCCATGGTACGACCCAGAATATGTAGAGGGCGTCATGGAAAATGATAACTACAAAATTCTTTGGAACAGGCCCGTATACAGCCTCAGACGTATCCAGGCCAATAAACCCGTTCTTCTACTTTTGATAAATCCATTGAAATCATTTATATCTTTTTAATTTTCTGTCCCTTTTGACACTAATGTGATTGACAAGATTCAGGCAAAACATGGCAAGTATGCAGAGCTCGCTTTCGAAATGTCACGCTTGCATCCCAAGTACCAAGTTGTCCGACTCCCCATTGTTCTCGGTTCCCTAGGTTTGGTACCTCCCAATCTATTGACTGACATTGGGAGAGTACCCGGGTTTGCTACCAGGAATACAGCCCTTCTGACAATCTGTGTAATGTAGAAGGCTGCAGTGTTGGGGAGTCTTCATATTCTCTGGGTTTGACTAGGCAGTGCTTCCTGTGAGAAGTCCCATTCGCTGTCTGGGCTGCGTGCAAAAGGGGAAGGGCCCTGAGCTGATGATGATCCTAACCATCCTGACTGTGTCAGGATCAGCCAAACCCTCTTTTTTTATTTTAATCTGTACATAATAATAATGAAAGTAAAAGAATGTAAATAATTTAAACGTTACAATGGAATTAATCTAAGACCTGCAACTGAAACTTGTTCACTCATCAATACCCCATATGGAACATTGTAATTTGTTAACAGTGTCAACAACAACAACCACAACTCAGATGAATAACACAACCTGATGAGTATTTTAAATATCTTAGATTCCTGAAAATTTCCCGAAACCGTACATGCCCTAGTTGTGACTTTCTTTCACCGCCGTCACTAATACTTTGCGGCGGACATAGGAGCGGTATCCATATCTGCTCCAACGTTCATCGTTTTGCATTGTCTATTGTCACTACTGGGGACTGATATGCGGATCGAGCTGTTAGGAAAGTCTGTCATTGTATGTTAGCACGTGTTCCACACACAATTCTACTTATCGCATTAACTAAAAATAATGTTATATTTTTAGGACTGATATAACTTGGAGAAATGGCAGTCAAAGAGGAAGTGTGGCTTTCTCCATAATCAAAGTGTACACATGTAATATAAATGCACTACAATATGAAAATAATCACATTTTGAGCGAATTATAAAGAATGGCAGATTCGTAGCCGTAAGAGTAAAAGATGCTTAATGGGCATTCCTCATGTCTAACCGTTCACAGAATTTTGAATGGTTTGTTTGTTTGTTTGTTTGTTTGTTCGTTGTTTAAAGTCGCACTCAGCAACATTCTGTGAAGTTGAGTTAAGAATACTTCGATGTGTGACCCCGGGCGAGAGTCTCCTGAGAGTTTCTAGGGCTTCGGTCCTGCTCCACATTGAAGCACATGTAGCACAGGTGGTGTCTCCTGAGATAAGTGACTTTGTTCGAAAAGTGCCTCTGTTCACCAAGCAGTGAATGGGTACCCGGTAGGTGAGATTGAAGTGGCTGTTAACCTTCTAGTGTGTCCCAGGCAGCTTGGGTTGTATACTCCACAGGGGGCTTAGAATGAAAATCGAGTGCACACTGTTTCATTGACCGGGGTATAGTGTTAGCGTTAGAGTATGCACCTTCTGTATGGAGTCTAGCGCAATATACGTATATGTACACATATTATCATTATTGTTTTTCATTCCAGCTGTATGCCGGCGGTCAGTAAATAATCGAATCTGGACAAGACAAACCATTGATGGATTTTATGACCAACGTCCCACGTCGTCCGGGTACGACGACACATCGTCAAAGTCACCAAGCCTGACCACCGGATCCATGCAAACGCCTCTTCCCACAAGCATTGGCTGCTGGGAACCGGAATGCCAACTGTGTTGAATTTTGAATGATGATTGTGGATATTTTGTGTGATCATTGTGAGGATTTCGTATTATCATAGTGAGGAGTTGGTATGATCATTGTGATGATACGGTTTGATTGTGCATACAAGTCTGTAAAAATATTATATTCTTCCATTCATTGTGAATATATGTTATAGAATCCGTCGGTGATGTGAGTTCTTCCAGGAATCTTACACTTACAAGCTACATCTAAGCGATTTTATAATACTCAAAGACATCATTTCTAAACGTCGTCAACTACTATAACCCCCAAGCAATGATGATCAAATCACCATTCGCAAGGTAAAGTATATACTTACTTTGCAGAGAGTTCCCGAGAAGTTTTGACATTGAGTTGCCAGTTCAAGCTTTGTAATACCTTTCGACAGCCAATCGAAAAAAACGCAGGTGGCGCAGTAAGTCCTGGAACCTTAAACGCATGTAATTACTATCCGAAAGGGGAACAAACATGGGAATGTGTGTCTGTTGTCTTATTCATGGCAATATATGTATGATTATTTATTGTCATGTATCATGATATGAGATCAGTTTTAGTGGGCTCTGGGTGGGATATAGATATTTTGTGATTACTATTGTATCTACGGAATCGTTATTGAGCAACCGTAATGTCAACATCTTTAAGTATATCGAAGGAATGAACTTAAAAATGTAAGCCTTCTGGTAAAAGTGCTGCATGGGCCATTTATAACAATTGTTAATAATGTGACAGTTATGTATTTTCCACTATATCTTTTAATCAGCCTGATTCATTATCATTTTGGCGTACCAAATTTCAGGAGATGTATATGAAGTAGTATCTGATACTTATATCGTATAGTAGTGGTGAAATCTCGTCAGAAATTATGTTACTTTTGGATAAATCGGTGACAGATAAAAATGGTAGTTCATGCTCTATTTGGGAGTGAATTTCCCCTTGTTTTATAAAATACTAGCGGAGAAAAGAAACTATCCTCAAGATATAGTTCGATAAATAAATATTTGAAATTTAAATAATTCATCTTTCAATACACATTAATAAAGACATCTCCTGGACATTAATGTGGTGATTCACAGTTTGCACGTGCATGTTCATGCACGGCGCAGTTTGGATTTTAGCGTGTCTGTTGGATGCATAATACTCACGTACCTGTTTTTTAATGTTAACAGCACACAATGATTGTGTAGCTATTACGTCCTCATTGAAATTACCGGTAGGACTAAAATTGCGTTTAGATCAATTGCAAAATTTACTGGGATTTTTAAGCATTTTGATTTTTCGGCCTTAGACGAGAGAAAGGAACTTCAGAACATCTGGGTGATTTGTGAAGTATGCCGGCAGATATCTAAGGCGTTTGTTACTGAAAAAAAGCACATACAAAATATGGTGGAATTCATTTGCAAAATACTTTTGATTACAGAGTTGACAGCTTCTTTCATACAATGATACATTTTTTTCATTTGCCAGTTTCTACTGGGGGTCGCTGATTTGATAATCTAAAGTATTATAGGGGCATTCTATATTTTACATCCTAAATATTAATGTGTTGCTCAAATTATATAAGTCTTTCATAATCTGAAAAGATGAGTTTTTAATGAGTTTGTAATTGTGTTTTTCTAGACCTGTAAATATTGGTCTTGAAGTCTTTGGGATATAAATTATCTCTGGTCTATTGTATCGAATCCACATTATCACAAGAACAATTGTGACATCCATTCATGAAAAACCAAACAATTAAAACATCAAACATGAAAACAAAACACTTGTATATGGGCGCAGTTTATTCAGTATTGGTGGCGGTACCCTGGGGGAGATACCTATCACAAATAATAACCTATCACCATTATGAAACACCCGAGAAGCTCCAATCCCGGGGGAGATAACCCACGCGGGTAACCATCGATGAGCAACTCCCCTCCCTGCCCCTGTCGACAAGCCGTCGAAGCAGCCTAGCAAATAAAATACCTGAGCGCCAAAATAGAACACCCGAGCAGTTCAGAACCTCGGGGAGATAACCCACGTGGGTAACCATCGATGAGCGGGGAGGGAGGGGAGCTGAGTTGTGCAGAGATAAGTATGAGATATATTGAAGTAAGTGTTCTATAGGGGCTGGCCATAGTTCTGGTATGTTGCATTTGTAAGTTGATCTTAACCTGGCAAAGGAATGCAAAGCAATATTTTATTGTATAAGCTTTCTTAGTGTTGTCAGCTTATGAAAGCTCTAGTAGCCTGGAAGCTTCAGTTTCCAGTTGTCCCAGTGTTGGCTTGGTATGTCTGTTTGTCGCATAATGAGATTGGGAGCCAGCTGTGGTAGTCGATGAAATTGAAAACGAGTGATAGCATTCTTACTACCTGGGATATACTCTCCCCTTAGTAAGATGTTGCGCTGTAAACAGTGAAGCACAAAAGGCCTAACAAGAACCATGCCACGTGCAGACTTAGATGTCAATTTGTTCAGAATCGTCACAAGTGATTGGTTGTCTGAATGAAACATAATTTTCTTGTTTACAAGCTGATCTGCCCACAGCTGTACTGCAACCAGAATTGGAAACAACTCCAAAAAGGTTATGTCCACAGTAAATGCAGCTTTTCTCCACTCGGATGGCCAAGCACCATAGGACCACTGATGCCCAAAATATAGGCCGAAATCTCTCCCCTCACCTCCAGCGCTATCTGTACAAAGGTGAAGCTCTGTATTTGAATGCCATTCTTTATCCAGAAACAATGAGACTCCATTGTGCTGATGCAGGAATTCCTGCCACACTTGTAAATCCTTTTTGACTCCTTGCGTCAAGCGAACATGATGATTGGGATTTTTTGCATGTCGAGTACAATCAATTAGCCTGCGAGAGAAAGGACGGCCTATTGGTATGGTTCTGCAGATAAAATTCAGTAAACCCAGTAGTGATTGTATTTGTTTAAGTAGGACTTTGTTTTGCCTAAGTAAATCTGGTATTGCTTGCTGACATTGTATGATTTTCTCAGCAGGGATTCTTGCTTCCATTGCCTCTGTGTCAATTTCTATGCCAAGAAATGTAAGGCAAGTGCATGGTAGTACGGTCTTTTCCGCTGCTATTGGTACTCCAAGATGTTATGATTGACGTTGTATATTTGTGTGTTCACAAGGGGTCCAGTTTGGGTAGACGGCGTCATGCTTGATTGAGTTAAGCAAGCTGCCTGGCGGCGAGAAGCGTGCTTGTGGGGTGATTGGAGTTTGAGTTGGCTTGGTAACTGATTGGTGTGGGCCGATCAACCTTTTGTTGTGTGCTGAAGTAGATAGCTTACCTGGAAATTTGTTTATTGTATGAGGGCAAGTTATCGAACAGAAAGGGGGAAGGAAAAAGAATTGGAGAGGGAGAAATATGATTTAACTGAACGAGGGCAGTTCAGCCCAGCGTTATGTCCGGAGACAGAGTTAGAAGGTCATGTCGACGCTTCCAAGGAGGAAACTGTTGTTACCCAGTTATCCTGTGAACTGTGATATATAAGTTTGGAACAATGTGAAATGGAATTCATTGGGAATGTGATGTCAAGAAATCTGAGGTGACTATTATCTATATTGCACATTTGCCATATTGCTTTGCCCAGTAACTGAGAATTGTTATATACTTATCTTTGTTTTAATTATTAAATCTAGCTTTAAACTTCAGAGATTGTTGTGTGATGCTTGTAATTGTTATTTGTGGTATTAGCGGGAACCCCTGCCGTTCATAACACCCGTAACAAATTGGGGCTCGTCGATTTATGAACCTATTTAAATCATAAGGGGTTAAATTGTAAGTGGGTTGGTTGGTTTGTTGTTTAACGCCGCACTCAGCAATATTCCAGCTATATGTCGGCGGTAAGCATATTTGTATTATTTACTCCCCTCCTATAATCATTATTCAAAAAGAAAAGTCCTGAAGATCAAAACAATCTTGTTTTTTTTATGTGTCATACATGTATATCATGAGTTTTATACCTAATGATTTTAAGCAATCAGTAACTCAAACCAAATTTAAAAACTTGCCAACTAAATGCCCAGTTTATCGATGGTGAATTGAGTGTATTTTTTTTTCAAAGTATTTGTTCAAGGCCTCGTTCATCACATTCATATCAAAGCGTATTCAAAAACATTCATACAGTTATACATACCTACTGACATCTGTTAAAAACAGTCTGCGTGAAAATATGCCACTTCTCATATTCATACGTATATTTCCATTAATTCCATTAATGCTTCCTAAACCTCAAATTCGGCAAAAACACAGAAAAGGTACCGCAACTTTTTAGCCGAAACTTAAAACAAAATGGCGACTGAAGTTGAAGGTCGCTTAGCGGTACTTTTCATGAGAGAAAAAAAGTCGAAAGCATGTCTCCCAGAAGAAACGAAAACGCACATGATAAACTTTGACACACCATTTTGGGTCTTTGTTGTTCATGTTTTGTGACTGATTATATGTAAGTCACGTTTTCGTATGTTTAATGAGGCGTGCCAATTTATTACAAGACGTTGAAAAGTAGGTTCGGCATATAGGATCTTATGCAGTGTCGAATATATTTATAATTTATTGGTTATATAAATACATAAACAAGAACTATATGATGTTGAATTATGAACGTGTAAATGTCAGTTAAAATTACTTGAATACCGGTCCCCGATTAAGCTATTTTTTACCTCGGTCTGAACGAGAACGTATGTCAAAATATAAATTGCTGTCTTTTTAACAGTAGAATTCATTGCTAAATTATTAATAATCTATCGTTTAATTTAAGTATGTAAATTTGGTATTCATTCGGTTTGTTATTGTTAAATAACGAAATAAAGTGACCCGCGACCTTTGACATGCACGTCACAGAGGTTACAGGTGCCCGAGTAAGCCAAAACAAAGTTCGATGTTGAAATCACCAACAGTGTTAAATATGACATCCAATGTAAATAATTATACATTATATGCTTTAATCTTTATCTTCGTGCTTTGTTTATCGAATCAGCGCGATGAACACAAATAAAATATAAAAAACGTTCGTCTCCCGCCGAGAGCATGAATATTCATAGGGATAAAAATAGCCCCATGTGACAGACGACAACATTGCGATCGAAGCTGTCCTTCAACAAGGATCATGTCAGCGGTTGGTGTTGGAGACGACGATGATTTGGGGGAGTCGGACTTCGAGTCGGACATATCAGTCGATTCTCTCGATTCCGACTCCGAGTCCCCAGGAAGAGATAAGCGGTAAGTAACATTAGTTCATTTTCAGTAAATTAAGTAGGTGTACTGTCAGTGTCAGAGCAATTGCGGGAATAAGAATTTCTTATGTTTTTGCAATTTTCGAAATTGTAGGCTAGATTTAGATCTACTCGTGATAGTTGTGATGTTTCAAATGTTACCATACCATGATAGTAATAGTAGAAACAGCCAACTTCCTTGTTTAGTATTTCATGAAATATGAAACTTAGAAATGATTTGAAAGAAAGGCTCTCATGGTAGTGAAGTTTTAACATGTCTACATGTGGCCTACACATGCTTTCGGTAAAGCTCAGTAATATTAATGGAAAAATGTCTTTGTTAAAAATCAAACCTTGAAGGACACACTAGTTCACACTTTGGACATGAAGCCATATTTTTAAATGAGTATAATGAGTCATTTTTCATAAATCTAAAATGTCTAACTTATTTTGAAATTTTAAAAATAAATGAATATGTTTCATAATTCTAACTGTTAAATGTTATAGATATATCATAAATGATGTAGATTAACATTTATTATAACTTACTAAGGGGAAAGGGGAGTGGCATTGCACCAAGTGACTGTTGTCCTTGCGCCAATGGGTTGGGGGTCAGCGCACTGAACAAATGTTCCCTCACCGGGCAGGTAGCCCGGAGACGCGGAAGCTATGGCCAATTTTTTTATGAAAATTTACCATCATTGTAAAGCTTTTGATTTTAGTTCTCACCCTGGAAATGTTTGCATCATGATTACACAATTGTTTTCCTGTGACTACTCAAGGAAGCCCTTCAGTTTTCATTAATAAATTCATGTGGAGCACATATATCCTAATCTTATCTTTATATAGTAGTAATAAAGAAGAAGTCTTTCAACATGTTTAATCTGTACCCAACTAAAAAGGTCACAGGTTATACATATTAATTACAAGCAAAATATTAGTCTTGACGAAAATAAAGTTGCCACATGAATATTGATACTGTGTTGTAAAATATTCACTAGATCTACAGGGTCTGAAATAGTTCCTTCAATAAACTGAATATATGTCTATAGGTCTATATGTATATATATATATATATATATATATGATATATTTATATTTTTATTTAAATTTAAGATTGATAACAAACATAAAACACATTGGAGAAATGACAAACTTCCATGAAGCAATTTGCAAAAAGTGTGTATCCAAGGGAGTTATTATAGGACCTAAACAAATCACATTATCTCCCCTTGATCACTAATAAAACATGAGTCAGCAGTTGCTTAGGACAATGACATGGAAATTAATACCAGCTCACTTATCCGTAGACAAATTTCCAAATCTTCCCATTGTTTTAACAGTACAATGGAATTTTACCCTGTCTTGTAAAGTATTTTAGTTCCAACCCTTCATTTTGATTTCGGTGTTAAGCATCACATAAAAAAATACTAAAGAGGCAAACAAATAAAAAAAGCTAACCATGTTCTCACAATTGTGATTGCATTAATTTATCTGAAATCTCTGAATTCTTAAGCTTTAATTTTCGCCCATGTCATAATTCAAAATTATTTGAAAAGCTTTTAAATTTCTGGATATTTGAATTTTGATAATACAGTTATACTCTGTCTAGGATATGGTCTGTGAAGTGGAATGATTCATACATGCTTTTTCCATGCTCCTATTTTATTTGAATGCATGGACACACTACACATATCTATCTTTTAACAAGGAATCCTTTCCCTTAGCACTTTTATATGTTATTGAAAGGACATTATTAATAAGAAGCATTATTTCAAATTTCAGATCACGAGGAAAATAACACGGAAGAGAGCGAAGAAGATACAAGGGCCAAACCAATGGTCCGTGGCTCCTGGCTGCCCGTGCTGGACACGGACAGCTTTGACCTCGGCAACAGCATTGACTTTGCCGAGGAGTGCGGCCCTGTCAACCCTCAAGGTAAAAAGAATTGATAAATACAAATATCATTAAGTGCATGAATTCATAATCAACATAGACAATGCCTGTCATCCAAAACTAAGTAAGGAATTGTTTCATATTTGGTGTCTCGAACAAGGTTAATTATATGTTTAGGTATAAATGTGGATATAAGTTGTATGATATTAAGATTATCATTACATGTACATGTATCAAATACAATGATATATGACAGCGTGATTTATAATAATTCATGTGGTCATAAATTATGATATATGTTTCAGATTACCATGCCCCTCCTATATGCTATTTTGATAAGCAACTCAGAGGAGAGGATGGAGATGTTGATTTGTTCGACCTGCTGGTCAGGGAGACAAACAGGTATGCTGAGCAGTACCTGCAGGGCCGCACTCCATCACCACAGGGCAGGGCTCGGGCGTGGAGACCCGTAGGCCGGGAAGAAATGCGGGCATTTTTTGGACTCTTGTTGGCCATGGGTGTCATCAAGAAGCCAACCATCGCTTCCTACTGGAATGAAGGGGACAAGAACTGGCTGGCGTCAACACCTTCCTTCGACAGGGTCCACTGCTGGCAGTGCTCTTTTCAGACAGGAAGGTCTTCACAATCCTTTCTACCATGGGTACAGTAGTCCAAGGTAAATTCAAAATATTAAATATAGTTCTATATATCCTGTTTAGTGTTCAGCAGCGTTAGAAACTAATAGTTTCAGTCCACTAGTCACTAGTCACATACATATAGCAAAACCCTTAAACTTTGTTAAAGAAGGCACATTTCTAATAGTCCTTATAGGACTAGTGCCAATTTCTAATGCTGTTAATGTTAAGTCAGTATGATTCCTACTCCAAGTGTCCATTTTCTTTCATACATGTACGCTTTGATGAGTGTCAATTACTTTAAATTTCTCATAAAGATGAAAAGAATATAGAGATTCTATATGCATGTTTCTGAAAAAAATAATATGAAATATTTTATTTACAGAATGGAGGATGGGCTTAACTCACGGGACCGGTCTGTCACTCTCCCCTCAGTCATTAGACTGTACAACACTCTAATGGGTGGAGTTGACCTTGGGATCAACTCATTGGTGTCTATGATCCCCAAGTCCGCTCCAAGAAGCTGTGGAAGAAAGTTTTAATCAACTTTCTTCTCACAGCATCAGGTAAGAATTATTTTATTTATTTGAAAATCAGAATAAAATAATTTGGTAACAAGGAATTTAGGAATAACTTATAATTCTAGACCTATGTCATTACTACCAACTATACAGTCATTATCATGATAATATCAACCAATATGTAATAAATGGCATTAACTGAATACAATAACGGAATAATTTCGCATCTGGTACCACTTCCACTGTATATTCATTGTACTGATTAATCAACGTGAACCTTATCTTCTGAACAGCTATTTCATAATGTTTGATTTTAATGTTTCATACTCATTTCATTTCAGTAAATGCCTATCAGACATTCCTGAACACTCATGGTAGAACGACCTCCCGTCTGGACTTCCACATGTCCCTTCTCCACTCACTCGTCGGGAACACTCGGGTGAAGAGGAGGACTGGCAGGCCCAGGACCAAGCCTCCTTCCCGACGACTGACCGGACGTCACTTCATAGAGTGAGTGAGTGAGTGAGTTTGGTTTTACGCCGCTTTTAGGATTATTCCAGCAATATCACGGCGGGGGACACCAGAAATGGGCTTCACACATTGTACCCATGTCGGGAATCGAACCCGGGTCTTCGGCGTGACGAGCGAACGCTTTAACCACTAGGCTACCCGACCGACCCCACTTCATAGAAGTGCTGCCTGAAGGGAAGAGGAAACAGTGTGTTCTCTGCAGAAAGAGACAGAGGACCACCGATGGCTCCGCAGGAAAGGTCAGGACCTGGTGTCCTGACTGCCACGTTGGCCTCTGTGCACGCTGTTTCTGTCAGTATCACACAGCTGATCACATTGAAGAGTGAAAGGCTGTGTGTACTGGCATATGATGGAACATTCCATCACTGCGAGTTATTGTATCTATGTACGTATTGTAAATGTTTCATATGTGTGTATATATATTAAAAGGATGTTTTTGTAAGAGAGTATGACCTAACGCCGTATTTGCAATATAACAGCAACATCAGGGCGATTCATTGTAAATAGATCATTGTCTATTGTATATGATTATGTACTTATTGTAAATGATGTGAGTTTGTTTTATGCCTCTTTTAGCAATATTCCTGCAAAAATATGGCAGTTTAATGTACTTATGTTCATACTTAATGACTTCCCACTGCATCTGCAATATTCCAGCAACATCGCAGCGAATCTTTGTAAATAGATTGTATATATTGTATATTGGTACTTACTGTAAATACTCAATGTATATATATATATATATATATATATATATATATATATATATCTGTGAGAGTATGACTCCATGCTGTATTTGCAATATAGCAGCAACATCACAGCGATTCATTGTAAATAGATTAAATGATATTAATGATATATATATATACTTACTGTAAATAGAAAATGGATTTGTGTATATATTAAAGGACATGTTGGTGCGTGAGTATGATTCAACGCCACATTTGCAATATTCCAGTTAATTCGTGGCGATTCATTGTATATGGATTATTGATCTTTTGTTCACAATTATGTACTTCATGTAAATAGAGTGAGTATGATTAATGCCGCTTTCAGCAGTATTCCAGCAAAGATGCGGCACTTTTTTTTAACTTTATTGTACATAGTTTATATATTATTCACATGTAAATACTGTCAATAAATATGTATATATTGAGAGATTTGTACATTTGTCTTATATATCTCATTTAAACAGTTACAAGATTTGTTACTGATGATAATTTTCAAATTATTAAATAAAGGACATTAAGGACAGTAAGTATAACAGTAAGGACCTTTGAATAAGAAATAATTTTCTAAGTCTTTCCAATTACAGCCATAAGAAAGTGGCTTATGAAAGTGTGGTTGTTCCTCTGGAATATTAACAAAATATTCAAAAATGTTCACAGATTATTCATGTATGCATTTGTAAGCATACTTTTTAATTATTAATTGATATGTAGAAATCGATTCTCCAATGTTATCATAACCAATGACTAACATACATCTACACAACTAAAGAAACTTTTTACTACTAGCCCTTATTATGATAAACCCTTAAAAATTGAAAATTTCTTCTTGTCCGTATTATACCTTAACTATTGGTCAGTTTGGCAAGGACTATTGGACAACTGCCACGTCTTTGCCGTAACGTATTCTGATAAAGTTCGCTCAACAGACATAATGTTATCCATAAATTTTAGCGGTAAATGCCACGAGCAAGCGCGGACGTGAGAGAAGACAGCAAGCCGTGAACGTATTTGTTACGGCTTGCGCTAATCTGAAATGATGTCCGTTTTTTTCGGGCGGGTAACCTGTGCCTTTTTCTTCCCGAAAGAAAGATTAATTATCGAGATCTATTTTGATTATACTTTGAACATTTCATGACAAAAATCACATACACATTCAACTGACTGTAATAAATGTTAGCTAATACAGTTCCTTTGGGTTTGTGATTAGTGGATCCATGTCTTTAATATGGTATGCGTCATGTTTTGTCTGGTTTCTCTTAAGTTAACGTTTTCGGGCCACTTCCTTCTGTTTGTGTTCAAGGGCATCCGTCTGTTTTGGTTGACAAATGATTTTGTGATGTTGATTTTGAGCGATTAATGTTTATTTCAGTGTTGATGCCTGGTTGAGGACACTCTGACGTGAATAATGTGATGGGTGGTTATAAAATTATGTGTGATTGTAAAGAGATGAAGATGGTTTGTTATGCTTTGTGTGATACAGTTGACCAAAGGTGGATTCCGGGAGTTTGTTATATTTTAAAGATGAACTGCAAGAAGATGGAGTTCACAAAAATAATTGCCGATATGGCCCATATCGTGCTGTTGCTCTATAGACAATGTCTCCCACTCTGATGCAATTGTAGGCAAAACGTCTGTTACATGTCATGTAATGGGACATTGAACAGCTTCTCCATGGCTGCTCGGTCTGACTGTGTTCTTGATGTTAGCAATGACAGATGAGCCTTTCTTGAGATTAGATTGACGTCATCAATTATTTCTTTCAAAATAAGCTTAGATATATCAGTTTAATGGTTTTACATATTAAATATAAATATGGTACAATAAATATGATATTATATTATTGTAATATTATTGTATAACAATGCAAACAAGATATATATATATATATATATATATATATATATATATATATATATGTGTGTGTGTGTGTGTGTGTGTGTGTGTGTGTGTGTGTGTGTGTGTGTGTGTATTTATATATACAACCGGCGAATCCAAATTGGGGTGTTATTTGAATGATGACAGTGACTAAATCCCCTGTGATAACCTGTTCATGATGCAAACTTCATCATGAAGACATGTTTATTTACACATAGGAACATTACATCTAAACTATTATCAGTTTTTTAATACACAATACAAGTTACTGAATACGCAAATGTCCTAGATTAACAAAGACACACATATAGTGAAATGAATATATCTACTCTACATACACTCACCATGCACACACTAATACTAGTAAATGTGACAAGTTTAAATATAATTAAGGATATATATAGAAATTTATTAAACTAAAGTGATTTGCATAATTATACTGGCATAAAATACAATTATTATTTTAACTACTAACCTGTATATAAGTATTATCCTTTCTCTCAGTCCAGTGCACAGTGAGGTGTAAATGCAAAGTGCAGGGGTGACAAGTCTTTTGAATAAAAGATCATATATGAATTTTAATTTGTGTTGTAAATTTTATCAATGCAAGTTAATTGATCGGAAGTACTGCAGACCCTGTCTTCAGAGACTTTTACCATCGCAGGTTTCATCTTTTCGGGAACATGGATCCGATTGATTTGATATAACCATGGCAGTTACAGGTGCTCATTTTAACTTGGATCCTCACAATGTTTTCAACTGTTCTCACATCCATGACCCTAAATACTGGCAGTTTATTAAGTCCAATATTATGGAAGTGTGACCAGAGATTTTTATCTAAATTTAGAATTCCAAAAACTAATAACATAATTTCCTTACATTCTGCATTATTTTAGGATGGCATATATATGTTGAAGCTTTTGAAGAGGGACAGTTTACTGACATCTGATGCAGATTTGGAGCTGAATATCAGCCTCTGAGCAGGTCTAGATTTATCCCTGGTGACATGCCCAACCCATGTTCCAGATGCCCAAATAAAATATATGTTATGATTCAGTTGTTATATAATAAAAAAACCAATGTAACAGTGAGGGGAAATAATGTACTGCTTTGATTTTATCAACTATTCTTTTATGTTTATTCATTAAAAAGACCCACAAACTGTAAGCCTTTCAGATTATATTGGTTTTACTTAGAGCACCAGACAAAATACGTGGGCAATGTGACTGTTGACAATCTATTTTCTTTATATCCACATGATTTGTAACTTGTGCTTTTGTTTACGGTTTCCAGCTCTTTCCATACACTTAAATTACGATGGAAAGTACAAACAAAATTAAGTTACTCCGCCCTTGGATGAATAATATATAATTGACATTCTGTAAATTGACAATATAGTATGCTCTGCCTGACCTGAGTTTTTCGAAGTAGTGCACGCTTCTAACTTTCAGCCATGGTGACTTCCTCATTGACCGATACACCATTACATCGGACTTATGAATTTTTCTCACTCCCGATATGCAATTTGACAACCAAAATAGAACCCAAAACAGATCATATATAACTCTCTTCAGATATTTTTGACACACGACTGGTAACAAAGCATTCTGAGCCAAATTCATTGCCCGCGTATTCAAGTTTCGCCGGCTGTGACGCCTCAGCGAATAGCCAGTTGTTGTCCCCCCTAATGCCTAAAACGAGGACGGCAGCTTGTGGGCGGGGCTCATCGGTCGGTCTATTGAGCAGTACCTCAGAGCTTGATGGCTACCACAGGAGATAACAATCCGGCCAGGGTCATTATCTTTCCACTCAGAATGGAAACAACTCAAACACCGGTAACGCTAGACATTTGTACTAGTTGTGCTGGAACATTTGTGGCCAACGTAAAATGTTTGATGATTTTGACTATATTGCTAACTTCCAATCGTTTGATACTGTGTGTTTATTGGGAGACATTTATTAATATCAGATTTCTTAGACTTAAACTGGCTACCGGGTTATCAAATGTTCTTTGCCCCAGCAGTTAAACTGTCGTTTTCAGGCAGATGTTCTGGTGATGTGTGTGTCTGCGTTAGACAAGATGTTGTGAACCAGTGCATCAACCTTAGCACCGTGTTAAAGAGTTAAATGTTTCAAAATCTGTGTTGAATTTAAAACAGGCAGGTTCCACATTTTACAATAGGAGAATGATTTTGGAAGAAAGCATTTATTGATCTGATTTCACTTCCTCACATATGTTACTCTGAGGTGATATTAATGCCCGCACAGACAATGAAGATTTTGAAGACTTTTGACATGACGATGTATACAATGATGCAGACTGTTGAACAGCGTATGTCTTACGATAGTACTATCAACAGATTCGGACGAATTGTGTTGAATCTTTGCTTTGTTCTTCGTCCGTTTGTTCCGAATAAGAGAGTTTACGCTGATGGAGCTGCAAGTTCTCGTTTGTATGAGAAAATGGTTCTAGTGTTGTTGAGTATTTCATTTTTCCAGTATGTAGATAAGTTAAATGTTGGTGATCGATTAGATTTAGACTATTTTTCCGTAGATATTCATGTAATGATGTATGAAGTCTTTAAGAGATATTTATCCAACAGGAAACGCAAAAATTGTAGGTGGTCTCTATTGATTTTAAAAAGACATTTGATTCTGTAAATAGCGCGAAATTGTGTTGTTGTTGTTGTTGTTTGTTGTTTAACACTCCACAATATTCCAGCGATATGACGGTGGTCTGTGAATAATAGAGACTGGACCGGACAATCCAGTGATTGACATCATGAGCATCGATCCATGCAGTTAGTATACGATGACATGCATCAACCATCACTGAGCATGATCTCCCGATCCCGTTAGTCGCCTCTTACGACAAGCATAGTCCTGCAAGGACCTTCTAATACAACATCAACTAGCTTTGTAAATACATCATGCGTTTGTGCAGCAAAATTATTTGTTACCTTGAGTATATATCTTATAAAATGTGTTTTGTAACTCCGCTGTATGTCTGCCTGTGACCTTTCATACAATAAAGAATTGAATTGAATTGTGTGATAAAGTACCCATCTTTCATGTGAATGACTAAAGAATAGCGTCATGTTTGGAGACAAAGATGCCATGTCGACACATTTTAAATCGACAGAGGGTAGTTTGTGATACCTATAATTATGTAACACCAAAAACAGTCACTGCATTATGTACGTGGTGTCATAGTAAGATGTTTTTTTTCTCGCGGACATTACTCGTGTTGTGTGCTGTAGACAGTTCACGTGGAAAAGAAGTGGAAAGAAGAGATAAAAACAATTCTTAAGAAGGTTCTTCGGGAATAATACCTTATTATCACTTACCAATTTCTATACGTGACTTCTAATGTTATTTCCATACCAATGTCGTATATGGCCATGAATATACAATTAGCGAGTTAAAAATCTAAATACTATTAGCCAGTGGATCTTTGACCGTTTTAATGGGGGGACTGTTATCAGTGGAAATTTCTGAAAGAAATCATTTGAATGTCAAAAAAAGATAAAAGACAATAATTCATCTTCAATAACATTTATTAACTTGAGAATGAGATCACTACTGCCAACACGACCATTTATTGTTACCAAGCTTCTCTTAATTTTCATTGCATAAACAAAAAGAAAATATTGTTTCTCGTGGCAGCATTCGCATGTATCCTGAAAGCATTTGTGTCATCTTCTTTCCTAGCTTAAAGTCATTATTTCATTCTCCACACAATATTCTTTTCGTTAATTTCTTCCCCTTTCTGCAGTAGCATCCTGGTCATTTGCTTGTCTTGGTCTTATTTTATTCCGGATAGCCTGTAAAATTTTACCTCCAAAGGATGGCCTTTTCCGACCATCAGCTTTTCCAAGCTTCTTCATACAAGCAGCAATGTCAGAAGCTCCCTTGCATTCTTCTGCACGTTCCGCCCCATTTTCCGACGGCACTTTCAATTTCCTAACCTGCGATATTGTTTTCGTTCCATTCAGGAGTGATAGTAATATCCTCCACGCCCACCTTTTCCCTTTACCCTTTTCTGACCTCATCCGGCTCAACTTTTTCTCGCCTATGCTCTCCTTAACTTGCGCTATTGTCTTGTTTCCTTTCAGGATTGCTTGCAACATCTTCCATGCCCAGGTTGTCTTTTTCCCATCATTTATTTCTGCCATCTCCTTCATACAGGCTTCACTATCCGCAGCACCCTTGCACTCCTCTCCTTCTAACTTCTCTAGCTCAACTTCTTCCTCTTTTTTCTCTATATTATCTTTCTCCTTTTTCTCTTGTGTTTGCTGCTGTGTCTCTTTGCCTTTGTCTGTCTCCTGATCTTTCTCTTTTTTCTTATCCTTTGTTTTTTTTTGCCTCTTCTGCTTCTCTTGTATTTGCTGCTGTGTCTCTTTGCCTTTGTCTGTCTCCTGACCTTTCTCTTTTTTCTTATCCTTTGTTTTTTGGGGCCTCTTCTGCTTCTCTTGTATTTGCTGCTGTGTTTCTTTGCCTTTGTCTGTCTCCTGATCTTTCTCTTTTTTCTTATCCTTTGTTTTTTGGGGCCTCTTCTGCTTCTCTTGTATTTGCTGCTGTGTCTCTTTGCCTTTGTCTGTCTCCTGATCTTTCTCTTTTTTCTTATCCTTTGTTTTTTTGGGCCTCTTCTGCTTCTCTTGTATTTGCTGCTGTGTTTCTTTGCCTTTGTCTGTCTCCTGATCTTTCTCTTTTTTCTTATCCTTTGTTTTTTTGGGCCTCTTCTGCTTCTCTTGTATTTGCTGCTGTGTCTCTTTGCCTTTGTCTGTCTCCTGATCTTTCTTTTTTTTCTTATCCTTTGTTTTTTTGGGCCTCTTCTGCTTCTCTTGTATTTGCTGCTGTGTTTCTTTGCCTTTGTCTGTCTCCTGATCTTTCTCTTTTTTCTTATCCTTTGTTTTTTTGGGCCTCTTCTGCTTCTCTTGTATTTGCTGCTGTGTTTCTTTGCCTTTGTCTGTCTCCTGATCTTTCTCTTTTTTCTTATCCTTTGTTTTTTTTGGCCTCTTCTGCTTCTCTTGTATTTGCTGCTGTGTCTCTTTGCCTTTGTCTGTCTCCTGATCTTTCTTTTTTTTCTTATCCTTTGTTTTTTGGGGCCTCTTCTGCTTCTCTTGTATTTGCTGCTGTGTTTCTTTGCCTTTGTCTGTCTCCTGATCTTTCTCTTTTTTCTTATCCTTTGTTTTTTGGGGCCTCTTCTGCTTCTCTTGTATTTGCTGCTGTGTCTCTTTGCCTTTGTCTGTCTCCTGATCTTTCTCTTTTTTCTTATCCTTTGTTTTTTTGGGCCTCTTCTGCTTCTCTTGTATTTGCTGCTGTGTTTCTTTGCCTTTGTCTGTCTCCTGATCTTTCTCTTTTTTCTTATCCTTTGTTTTTTGGGGCCTCTTCTGCTTCTCTTGTATTTGCTGCTGTGTCTTTTTGCCTTTGTCTGTCTCCTGATCTTTCCCTTTTTTCTTATCCTTTGTTTTTTGGGGCCTCTTCTGCTTCTCTTGTATTTGCTGCTGTGTTTCTTTGCCTGTGTCTGTCTCCTTATCTTTCTCTTTTTTCTTATCCTTTGTTTTTTTTGGCCTCTTCTGTTTCTCTTGTATTTGCTGCTGTGTCTCTTTGCCTTTGTCTGTCTCCTGATCTTTCTCTTTTTTCTTATCCTTTGTTTTTTGGGGCCTATTTTGCTTATGCGACTGCCTATCCTTCACCATTTCTCTGATTTTGGCCATCCTCTGCAGCCACTTTGTCCTTCTTTCCTTCCGCATTGCTTTTAACTTATTCTTCCATGCCTGGGATCGCACGTTCCCACCTTCTTTTTGTTCAATACAGCCGTTTATGTCTAAATCCCCTGCACACCCCTCCGCAGGCCATTCTGTAACACATAAAGATGCAACACAGATCAAGTAAAAAGTGTTATTGTCTATATTTCTTTCGCTGCTTTGTTTATTTAATATACTTTGTACTTCCCTGACTGATCTACGTAGGCATAAAGGACACAGAGTGAATAGTAAATTCGGTTCCATTCCCCACACGACCTTCATATAATGAACGCAAAGAATCGTATCGGCAGAAAGGGACAAAAAGACATTTATTTTCGTTTTGTTTTCTTTATATATGTATGTACATTCCTTAAAATGATTTTCGTTTACATGGTTAGGTACAGCTGCATTGCCAACTAGCATCCAGTCAATATTAACATCGCGAGTACCTTACAATTAACAATACTGAGTGCACCAATTCGTTTCTAGCTCAATTAAAATCTAGTCATTCAAAGAAATGAGTTTTCACATGGGTTGCCACATCTGCAATGTGTTTCCTCGTTTAAATCTTGTCTCATCTTTATGCCTTAATTATGTACTATAATGTTAATTATTCTGAGACTGTATGAGAAATATGGTGTGAATTGATATGTTCTTATACTGGATTTAAATCGAGAAAAGGTTTCATTTTCCCTTAATTGAAAGGGTAATTTATATCAATATAGGATGGTATAAAGAATCGGAAATATTACAAGGCGTAATAAAGACATGGTTATTTTGAGCAGCTTTAACGTTGTATGTTATATTTAACCTGAAACGTAGGCTTCTCCTACGCTAAGATAAGAGGTCCCAAGAAGTTACAAACAGTCCTGCTGCTTCAAGTTTTGTAATCTGTACATCCGTCCCAAACTTCACATGCATATTCAAAATGACTGCGAATAAAATAAAGCGACAAACACCAAGTCAAAAATCATAAGAAATCTCTACTAAAATTCCATTTCAAGCTTCAAATTGTGATGAAAGCAGGTGTTCACTAAAAGGTGAGCGCATCATGCGCCACCGATAGCAGACGTCACAAACACGTGCAAAGGCAAAGCATTTATTCACATGAAAAATACAGGAATACACATGTCTACCATAAAGCCTTTTGAAAATTTTGCTAAGGCCTTGAATGTTGTAACCCTATTCAAACAATTTTTCAACAAAAGAAGTATGACACTCGATACAGTTTTCGTGGTAAGAGCAAGCTCGATTGGACTGCAAAAGATTTTTTCATCACGCTGAATCTTTATGCATGGATCAAATTATGACAGAAATTAACCGCCTCCGTGGTCTAGTGGTAGAGCGTCCGCCCGGAGAGCATTATGATTCAATTTTGCACCGACAATCTGTATTTGAATTAGCTACTAGCGGAAGGTCCGGGGTTCGATCCCCGGCCGCGTCATACCAAAAGACGTTCACAGATGGTACCTGTTGTTGCCCTGTCTGCCGCTCGGCGTTAAGGGGTTAAAACAAGGACCGGTCAGCTCGTAGTCAGTATACTGGGTCTGAGTAGGGTATTCATGTTAAACTGCCACATTGTATCTCAGTGGGCTAACACTATTAATCGGCATCAGTCTGGACTAGTACAAGCAGCCACAACCACACGCGCGCACGCACACGCACACACACACACACACACGTTCATGCAAGTCGCTGTGTAAGTGCAATAATCTTGGACGCGATGGTTAAACCCCATTTCACCTCACCTCACCCTAAAGAAATGAGTCAGTTTCACTGGTCTCATTTATTTCTAGTTCAAGTGGGTAAATCAGGGGAACGCATTGGTCATTTTATCATTATTGAACTAGATCAGATCTTCGATATACTTTGAAGCTCAAGCTAAACTTCTTGACCAAATGTTGTTGTTTTGATTTTCGCCAATCCGAGTAGAAATTCCGATTAATATGCATACAAAATGGATCAACAAGAAGGGGATCACAATTGGTGCCCCGGGGATGCCACAAGTGTGCCTAAATGTCTTCACAAAGATGTAAGGGCCTTGATTTTGTCCCACTTGGTGCTGTGGCTGGGATTATCACGGATATGGTTGATTAGTTTTAAAGAGAAGTAACAGCATTCAGAATACCATTAAAGCCACAGGCAAACCACCATCCAGAAGAAGCAAGAACCATCAGGAGCAGTGTACCACATTCCGTGTAACTGTCGACAAGCTTACATTGGTGAAACATCAAGGTCCCTCAAAACCCGAATTAAAAAACATCAAAGCTCAGTATCGAAAGCTGACTCTAAGTCAGCTCTATCGGACCATACCGTGACAATCTCAGCCACAGCATCCAGTGGGACAAAAAAACGCCCTTACAATCAACCTCAAAGACTTCAAAATGAGAAATCTCTAAGAAGCCATCAACATCAAAAGACCCCAACCATCAATCAACCGTGATCAAGGCTATTACATACACCCTGCGTACGATCAACTCATCAAAGACCCCAATCAGTCATAATCATATTATTTGAACTACTGGCTTCACCAGTTTATACTACTGCTTTCACCTGTTAAGATTTTACCTTATATATCAACCCCTTTTGTGTACATTAAAAACTTCTCCAATCCATTGAAACCACATTCTAATCCACTCAACTGTACAAACAATGCTTCACACCTTCATATAGGCTTGTCAACCATACTCTGTACATCACTTGCTTGATAACGGTGTTAGAACCTACACTGAAACGCCGCTCCTAAATGTAATAAAGAAGTTGTTCATCCATATATCCTTTCAATACTTATGACTCCGAACTTCTAAATGCCTCTCAAAGAAATACAATGTTTTGAGAGAATTCAACTTGGTTCTTTTCTGAGATTGCAACCACTCAAGCATATCCTTTGAGTTTTTAAGAATCCACGTGGTATTTATTCAACTTGAATAAGTTCACTCGTGTACACCAGAAACAGGAAAGGGCCAAGTACCGATCCATGTGGCACTCCAGCTTTTAACACTTCCGTATCAGGCATTTAGAAACACAGTTTGTTTGCGGATTGTTACCTAATCGGCCACCTACTTTTAATGATCCAACGTTTATACCATATCATTTCCATTTATACTCAAGCGATCGTAAGACGGCTGCGTGGGACGTTGCTAAAAATATGTATCACTGATCTCTGTGTCTCTGACTAATCTATTAAAATAATTAGACATATTTCAGCAAAACTGGCACCAACAAGTTTCCTCTTCACACTTTCTCAGGCATCATGCTGGTATTAAATCATTGTTGCAACCAGAAAAAATATTTAAGCATATTACAAGATAAAACTCGATTGTAAATTTAGAATATATCTCCATAACTTCATTGTCAATAAATATCGTAGTACCAAGAATAGTGATTTTGAAAATTATATATGTTCTAACTGTACCAACCAGGAGATTGAAGACGAGTTTCATGTTCTTTTTATATGTGAAAAATATAAAACGTTGAGATTAAAGTTTGTACCTAATTTAGATATTACACACAAAGACAATCAATTGATGATCAATTTGTTGAATTCGACCAATGAAGAAGTTATCAAATCTTTCGCAATGTATTTGAAACATGTATTTAGACTCAGGTGAATATATTATACTTTGTTCAAGATCACGTTTATTTTTATGTATCTGTTAAAACTGAACTCTACCGTGGCCTTGCATACTGAATAAACTGTCTGTCTGTCTCTCTGTTATTAAGTACACACCGCCGGGTATAGCTGAAATATAGTTGACTGTGGCGAAACATAACCAACAACCTCGTTTTAAATGTTGCCCTGAATCTGACTGGTGAAACACTTACCTTCAAATAAAGGTTTTCTGGCGATTTCAATGTCAAAAAACACAACCGGGTTTTGTGCAGCGCCCTCTTCAACGGCAAGCCCTTCGTCAATCACGGATGTTAAAGTCACCACCAACAGCAGGGACAGAGAAATAATGTTTGGCCACATCACGCACTGAAATAAATTAAACCCGAGCATATATCTACATATCAGTTTTCAATGATCATCATGAAACTAAAAGAATATGAATAATTTAAACTGTTACAATGGAGTTGCTCATAGACTTACAGTTGAAACTTGTACAAACATCTCTACCTGATATGGAACATTTTAAGGAAAATGTGTTAACAGTGTCAGCAAGAACAAACACAATAAAGATAAATAACACATACTGTTGAGTCTAATAAATCTCTTAGATTCTTGAACATATCCTCTGTTGGTGTATGTATGGCTCCATTGGCCATATTTGTTACTTTCATTCACTAAACCTTTGGCGTGGACATAGCAGCATTTTCCGTATCTGCTCAACAATCAACGTTAAGCACTATCTGTGCCCACTGGCGGGGGCTACGTATATGGATCGAAATGTCAGGAATGTCTGTCAATGTACGCTGTGGTATCTACACCACATTTCTACATATCCAATTGGATAAAAATGATAAAATATTTTTTTGAATGGATGATGGACTTAAATGATGCACATTGTCGTATGAGGGTTGCACGGTGTGCATGGCTAAAAAACGGTAAACCCAGGGACGAAGACTCAGATTTGCGAATCTGTTATAAAACTGAAAAGAGACATTTCAGGCGCCTCCATCGAAAATCGAAAAGGTCCAACAAAACGAATACCCTAAGGGAAATGGAGAGGGCAGCTGAATTTGATATAAATTCTCTTTATAAAACTGTTAGAAAACAAAGAGGGCGGGTGGCCGAGATACATATACTAAACTATAAGGATGAATGTGGTTCTACACCCTCAGCTATTTGCAGATTATGGGGTGATTCTTTTTCAGATTTAGCCAAACCCTACCATTCTGAAAGATTTGAATATGTGTTTAAAGCAGATATAACGAGTAAGGTACAACTATTTAAACAGGTACGAGAGAGTCCTGACGAGGAAGTGGGAAAAGATATTTACATGTCAAGAGATAAGAGAGGCCGTCAAATCCCTCAGCAGGTATAAATCTCCAGTTCCGGATAAGATTACAGATGAACATATTATTTATGCTGGAGAACATCATAATTATTTATTCCTCATGTATATTTTGTAATCATATGATGAAACTACAATATGTACCTTATGATTATAGTCTTGGCATGGTCATACGAATATATAAGGGGAAGAATGAAAAAGCTGATCCTCGAGGTATTACTCTAACATCATGTCTCTGTAAGCTCTTTGAAAAAATACTGCTCAAACCTATAGAAGACGAATTATGTAAGCTTAACCCAGATTCTCCTGAAATGCTACAGTTTCATTTTGTTTTAGAAAAGAACACGAAGCTATTATGTCAGTATTTACTTTGATCGAAGGCATTCAGTATTACATTACAAAAGGGACTCTGCAGTCTATGCAGCTTTCTTAGATAATGAAAAAGCATTCGATAGGAGTGATTGAGTGAGTGAGTTGGGTTTAACGCCGCTTTAACAGTATTCAATTCACATCGCGGCGTGTCAGCTTAATGAGGGAGGAAAGCCCGAAGTGATGCAGGTCTCAGACGTTTACCACTTCGGTGAAACCCACGAGCATGGGTATGGTGCTGACAAACCTAGAAACATAATCAGAGTGAACCGGGATTCGAACCCACAATCATAGGTTTCTGGCGTGCCCAAGGGACGCAACTCTGCACAGCGAATTGCGGCGCCTTAGACAACTGGGGCACCCTTGCCCCCGCATTCGATAGGATATGGCATTATGGATTATTTTACAAACTACATAAACTGGGCATTAGAGGTAATACATGGAAATTACTACATTATTGGTATACAAATAGTTATATGTCCTACCAAGGTGAACAATCAGACAGATATATGGTTCAACAAGGTGCTGACCAAGGCCAAGTAATCTCTGCTGGGTTTTTTCTTGTTTCATAAATGATCTCATTACAGCCCTTAGACAAGCACAATGTGGCTTTCGTGCATATGGTATGGATATTCCTACAATCTCGCTTGCCGACGATACTACGCTTGTTAGCTCATCACCGTCAAAAAGTGCAATAATTGTGTATGATCACTATGAGGTTTTTTTTATCATTGTGAGGATAATGTATTGTCATAGCGAGGATGATTGTGCATAGAAGCCTGTAAAAGCATTTATTTATAATCTGCCATTCATTGTGAATATGCCATATATATGAGAACTTGTCGTTGATCCGAGTTCTTCCAGGAATCTTAGCCTTACAAACTACTTATCAACCTCTTTGTGTGTACTTACCATTGAACCAATCTTTCTGTAGGCAGTAAGATCCCGGATGAAGTTTTACTTTTTCCTAATAAAAACTCATTCCTGCTAGGAGACTTTTCCTAGTAAGACGATGTTTGGACTTCTTCGCTTTTAAGGGTTGCGATTGTTTTTTCTTCATAAAAGTAGGCTTAGATATTCTTTACGTCACATTTCAAATTCAACATATGGAAATAATGTTAGAAATTTCTCACTGTTTACTAAAACATAATAACTGTACAGATGTAGGTGCATGAACAATGAAAATAGCGGTATGATATTGTATTTTTATATAATGAAACACTATGTGTAGCACAAAGCGAGTGTTCACTTGACAGAAAAACGCGTTTGAACTCACAAGTGCTGTAGGAATGTACTTTTCGATTACTGAGTTCTTGTAAGTAAGATATGGATGTACAATTTCTCTATTACAATTAGGTGCGACGTTTCGGTGTATGTTCAAACACTGTTATCAAGGGCGTGATCAGTGCAAGTTTCGGAGTAGGTTATAACACCATTATCAAGCAAGTTCTGATGTTGAATCGTCACTCCTAATTGTAATAGCCACGTGAAGATCCGGGGTAGAATATGCAGCAGCAGCACATGCTTGCCGTAAAAAGCGATTGGGCTTGTCGTAGGAGGCGACTAACGGGATCGTGGATGCTCATGATATCAATCACTGGATTGTTTGGCCCAGACTCGATTATTCACAGAACGCCGTCATACAGCTGGAATATTGCTGAGTGCGACGTTAAAGAAGTTACTAAGAGTGTGGATAATTGACATAGATAGCATAACTTCTGATGTAAATGGCGAACAAAGGTAACGTTACTAAACTGCACTTTCAGCATGCCAACCTAAAAAAAGATATGGGTATGAAGGAATGATGTACAGTTCATTCACACTCAAACCAGTGGACAGTGACAAATAACATGCTGAGATTAACGCTACAGCAGAGAGATCAAGTCGTTGTTGGCATGATTTACAAAAGAGCAACGTCGCTTTTGGCTATAGCCGAATGACAATCACGAGGCGCATGGCCTGTTGCAGCCTGACTGGGCGGAAGAGCGACAAGCCTAGGAGTGCCACACTTCGTGTAACCACCACCCAGGAAAACTGAACAACTGACAACATCCTCCAAACTGTGACACAATCCATTCTTTTTTGTTCTCATCGACTGTATAGTTAGTAAGGATGTTAATTCATGTCTATTTGAAGTATAATCCTTGACATTGGTCGTGTTCTGTTTTGTGTGTGCGCGTTTGTGTGTGTATGTTTATGTTTTTGTTATGTATTTTGTTCTAAGTTAGGGTTCATAATGCTTATGGGTATTTCACTTCACAGTCAACAACTGTTTCAGTCCTATCACAGTGGGACAAGCGAGTCAATAACCTTGTCGAAGGATACAACAGTGACTTGCATGATATGGCCTCTTGAAATGGAAGATTTAAAATGATTATTAATAAATTATAGGTGTTACAGGCACATTGTCTCTCATGCTCATGGCTATGTGTCAGAGATTATGGCTTTGTGCCCTGTAGTTATTTGTTTACATACAAAATAGGACTAAAGCCACGGAGACGTGTTTTCTCTTATACACCTTAGTCATGTTATGATACTCTAAAAGGCATCATTTCTAAATATCGCGAACTACTATAGCACCCAAGCATTGAGGATCACAGCTTCAATAAACCCATTAAACGTTAAAGAATATACTTACTTTGTAGAGAGTTCCCGTGAGGTTTTGACATTGAGTGCCAGTTACGGCCTTTGTAATAAATTCCTACAGCCAATCGAAAAATACGCAGGTGGTGCGGTTAGATCTGGAACCGTAAACGCATGTAATTACTATCCGCAAGGGGAACAAGCAAGGTGATATGTCTGTTGTGTTATTCATGCCAATAAATGTATAATCATATGACTTCATGATTAGTTGACATGAGATACAGATGTTTTATGATAAGTACTGTTTACGGAATCGTTACTAAGCAGCCTTAAAATAGATATTTATTCTATATAGAAGGAGAGCTTTCGGTAAAAGTGCTGCATTGGCCAGTGTTATAACCAGTGTTAGCATTGGGAGGCAATAATGTGACAGTTATGTATTTTCCACTATATATAAATCAGCATGATTTCTTTTTCATTGAGGCTACAAAATATTTATTTGACTGTAATGTGAGATTTATTCCCCTGTGAAACACTTATCCTCCCGGCTGTTTAGATCTGATCTTTAGAGAACGATGTTCTTTTATTTGTGCAACCTACTGCACGTCATTTGAATCAGAGGCGTCAGTGGTGTAGTGGTTCCCTACACCACCGCCTGTAAACGCCTACGATTTCAGCAATGGGGTAATCGACCTTGGGCTAATGACATGTTTTCTGACGAATAGAGGTTCACTCCCGACTTCCATGACCGAAGGCATCGAGTTTGGATACGTCCTAACGTTTGGAGCGTTAGGGGCGTTTTATGGACATTAACGTTGTATCGCTCTATCGTTTTGGGGGCTGGGTATTGAGTGGTATTACAAGGACTGGTAGAACTGCGCTTCGTAGTGTTCCTGGCATAGTCATTGCACCATTTGCTCAACGTCAAAATCCATCTACTACTCTCAATGAACTCGGTGTTGCGCTCACTGATGAGTGGAACAACATGAGTCAAGCTGACAGTGGTCGACTCATCAACAGCATGGCTCGAAGTATTCGTACATGTTTCACCAACAGAGGTAATGGCCATATAAGTGATGATTTAGTGCGCCACTACCATTAGAAGCCATTAGATCTGATCGCCTACTCCCAAGAAGATATGACCATATCATTTCCATTTGCCAATACCATATAGATATGAAATTATGTCTTGATGATTCCCACTAGCCCTACTTTTTTGGCATAGTATCTATAACATCTGTGTCGTATGCGAGTCCACTGATAATGACCTCCATACATATACATGGCAATGAATATAAATTAAAACGGATTAACTATGATTTCAAACAACTCTTCTTAATATGCGCAGTACGTTCTATCCAGGAGTTCGTCAGCACCAAACTGTGGCAAAGACCCACAAATGAGTCCAAGACGTATTATACAGGAGAAGGTAAATATAGCAAACAAGTAGCCAGGTGGTATACGTCATTGCCAATGCTACCAGAGTATGTAACGCAGGACTTCCACATTGCCAAGACATGTCGAGGCTATCTCACCGTGAAACACAAGAGGGACAGCTCGAATTATATACAACTGAAGGAATGCGAAACAGTTGCACTGATATAGATGATATATATATTCCCTGTTTGGAGGAACAAGCATGCATACATTCATGGTAGAATGGTAGTGATGTTTCTCTGAGTAGCAACATGTGCTACTCTAATCTAGTATGAATGTTTAACCTGCCTTTACGAGGCACGAAATGGCGTGTGCTGTAAACAGTGTACCGTTAAGTAGAATTTTTTATATATCGCGTGTGTTTTACACAGACTCCATATCACAGAAAATTGACAACCGTTGACGTTTTCAAAAAGTGCAAGTTATTACATCCCTGTATGTTCAGATTAATTTACATAACTTTTTTTCCATTGTAAAAATAAGTAACACATCAACATGTTGTATTTCTTCATAACCCACTTTAGTTGAAGCACGTTGGAATACACTATCAAAGACATTGTGTATATACACTTCCGCAAATACAGCTAGTGAACCATTGGGGTAAGACAATCAGCGTGAAATTGAATAAAATGAAAGGCAAGTCATTTTCCTCAAAGGTTGTTTGACCACTTTTCTTTCAAATCCTCCTAGTGAAAGCAAGCAAACCTTCTTATTAAAATCACCATGTAAATTAGTTATATGGTGAATATTAGTAGTATAACGTTTGAATTGTAAGATCACATTAACATTACCGATTCGATGTAAATTTTAACTCATTCCCTAAGATCAGATTATTGGTTTGCTCACGAACTACTCTGTTTTGATGATGATGGCCAGATTGCGGTCGAGATGTGATTTTGTTCAAGCAGACGGAGGCTAGGTTTTATATTTACGCAAAATTATGAGCTGTGATCTTATTTTTCAGCCCAAGGATTTTCAACATTTGTCCACGAGTGTTGATATATTTGATATTAACATATTAGCGAGGCTGAGAGTGCATTTTTCAACCCAAATCCTTCTATCAACTTTTTCAGTTTGTGGAAAACAGTGCCCTGAGTGTAAAAAGCACAGATAACAAGTTTCAGAGCGATTAGTGATGTCATTTGATGGCGTCATGGTCACCGATGACGCCAAAGTGGTCTGAAAAACATGCAATTCTATCGTAGCGATATCTCACCCAAGCGATATCTCTTGTGGAAGCCAGTTATGGATGATAAAATATATGGTAAACATGATACTGTGAACTATTAACCAGGAAAGGAATGACTTATGTATTAAAATCAAGACGACATAATAGCACAATGGCTCAGATGTACATGTAGATATAGACCTTTATATATGCAATAAGGTTACTTATTTGCCAACATCAAGTCACACGTATGTATGTCGTGTGCTCACATGTGTTGTATGGATGATTACATGTCTGCTGAAGAAAATTGATTTTCACAACCCAAGAACAAATTCATTCTGCCGACAATGGAACACTGTTGGTTGGGGGTCGGGGATCGGGTGTGGGGAAAGTCGAAGATAATAAATCACCGGATCCTGGCATGGCTAAGGGACACAGGACATTGGAACAAGGCTAAGGGACACAGAACATTGGAACACGGCCAATGGACGCAGGACATTGGAACACGGCTAAGAGACACAGGACATTGGAACAAGGCTACGGGACAAAGGACATTGGAACACGGTCAATGGACGCAGGACATTGGAACAGGGCTAAGGAACACAGGACATTGGAACAAGGCTAAGCGACACAGGATATTGGAACACGGCTAAGGGACACAGGACATTGGAACAAGGCTAAGAGACACAGGATATTGGAACACGGCTAAGGGACACAGGACATTGGAACACGGCTAAGGGACACAGGACATTGGAACACGGCTAAGGGACACAGGACATTGGAACACGGCTAAGGGACACAGGACATTGGAACACGGCTAGGCGACACAGGACATTGGAACACGGCTAAGGGACACAGGACATTGGGACAAGGCTAAGGGACACAGGACATTGGAACAGGGCTAAGGGACACAGGACATTGGAACAGGGCTAAGGGACACAGGACATTGGAACAGGGCTAAGGGACACAGGACATTGGAACACGGCTAATGGACACAGGACATTGGAACACGGCTAAGGGACACAGGACACTGGGACAAGGCTAAGGGACAAAGGACATTGGAACACGGCTAAGGGACAAAGGACATTGGAACACGGCTAAGGGACACAGGACATTGGAACACGGCTAAGGGACACAGGACACTGGAACACGGCTAAGGGACACAGGACATTGGAACACGGCTAATGGATACAGGACATTTGAACAAGGCTAAGGGACACAGGAAATTGGGACAAGGCTAAGAGACACAGGACATTGGAACAGGGCTAAGGGACACATGGCATTGGAACAGGGCTAAGGGACACAGGCCATTGGAACACGGCCAATGGACACAGGACATTGGAACACGGCTAAGGGACACAGGACATTGGATTACGGCTAAGGAACACAGGACATTGGAATACGGCTAAGGGACACAGGGCATTGGAACACGGCTAAGGGACACAAGACATTGGAACAAGGCTAAGCGACACAGGATATTAGAACACGGCTAAGGGACACAGGACATTGGAACACGGCTAAGGGGCACAGGACATTGGAACACGGCTAAGGGACACAGGACATTGGAATAGGGCTGAGGGACACAGGACATTGGAACACGGCTAAGCGACACAGGACATTGGAACATGGCTAAGGGACACAGGATATTAGAACACGGCTAAGGGACACAGGACATTGGAACACGGCTAAGGGGCACAGGACATTGGAACACGGCTAAGCGACACAGGACATTGGAACAGGGCTGAGGGACACAGGACATTGGAACACGGCTAAGCGACACAGGACATTGGAACTAGGCTAAGGGACACAGGACATTGGAACACGGCTAAGGGACACAGGACATTTGAACACGGCTAAGGGACACGGGACATAGGAACAAGGCTAAGCGACACAGGTGATTGGAACACAGCGAAGGGACACAGGACATTGGAACACGGCTAAGGGACACAGGACATTGGAACACGGCTAAGGGACACAGGACATTGGAACACGGCTAGGCGACACAGGACATTGGAACACGGCTAAGGGACACAGGACATTGGGACAAGGCTAAGGGACACAGGACATTGGAACACGGCTAAGGGACACAGGACATTGGAACAGGGCTAAGGGACACAGGACATTGGAACACGGCTAAGGGACACAGGACATTGGAACACGGCTAATGGACACAGGACATTGGAACACGGCTAAGGGACACAGGACACTGGGACAAGGCTAAGGGACAAAGGACATTGGAACACGGCTAAGGGACAAAGGACATTGGAACACGGCTAAGGGACACAGAACATTGGAACACGGCTAAGGGACACAGGACACTGGAACACGGCTAAGGGACACAGGACATTGGAACACGGCTAATGGATACAGGACATTTGAACAAGGCTAAGGGACACAGGAAATTGGGACAAGGCTAAGAGACACAGGACATTGGAACAGGGCTAAGGGACACATGGCATTGGAACAGGGCTAAGGGACACAGGCCATTGGAACACGACCAATGGACACAGGACATTGGAACACGGCTAAGGGACACAGGA